TTCCCCTGCGCCTTGGGTTGAGCGACGGGTGGCTAGGGTTTACGGTTTACGTTCTTCTTTTTTTGTCGCTCCTCTCCAGCCCGCACTACTCAGGAAGCTGGAAGACAAGATCTAATAATTTCGATTGGGGTGCACTCTCTCCCTAAGGCTCCATGTGCCCATAGAGTAGGTACTTAGGCCTTAAAGAGGTCCGCCTAAGTACCTACTATATGAATACATGGAGCCTTTGGGTCTTAGGCCCCGGCAGTCATGAAGCAGACCTCCTTCGCCCGATGGCAGGAGGATCCTTAACTAAGGCCTCTCTAATTATAGCTTTCGGGTTTAGGGTCGGGGGTTTAAGGGGTGGGGGATTTAAGGGGTTGGGGGGTTCAGGGGTAGGGTTTAAGGCCCAGGGTTAAGGGCTTGAGGTTTATGGCTTAAGGCTTCTAGCTTAGGGTTTAGGGTTGAGGGATTTAGGGGGCTGGGGGTTTAAGCTTCTAGGGTTTGGATGCCGGCTTTTGGAGGCTTAGGGCATTTCTCGGGGTTTGGGCATTTCAGAAGCAAATGAGGTACGCCTCAAGCGTCGCAAAGGCTTGCCATCTTCGGCTCACAATGGCTTTCAGGGCCTTGTAATAATTTCATTAGGGTCTTGGTTTAGATCATGAATTATACTAGGCCACGCTATAATGTAAAGATAGTAAAGGGAATAATCTACTGAAGCTTCATGGGGTTTGGGGGGCGGGGTGCCCTGTGGGACGAGGCGCAGCCTCTTGGCCCAAATTGAAACTGCCAGCGGCGAGGGCGAGCGATGCATGTAAATAGTTGCTCAGATCCCGACACTCTCAAAGCCCTCAGCCCTGACCCTATTGCATGGGTTCCTTTAAGGGCTCCTTTACGGGATCTATAGAGTTACCTTAAGGGTGGGGTTCCTTCAAGGGTAAAGCCCAAACATCCGAAACTTATGAATCCTTTGTGCCGAACTCCGAGATGGCTGGCATCGGAGCCAAGGTTACGGCATGACCAGTTAGAACAGGGTTTTGTGGATGGTTTAAGGCTTACAATGCACCCCCAAAAGTTGGAAATCTGGTTCAAGAGCTTAGTGCTGGGAATCCTTATACATGGCTCTCAAGGATTGAAGCTGTTGAGCTTCCAACTTTTGAGCTTCTACTGTACAGGAGTCAAAATATCACCACATCAACGCAGATCAACCATCGTAACAGCTACCAATCAATAGGCTCCAAAGGTGGGATGAAGGTAAGTGAGGTGTTCCCAATTAAGAGTCCTTATAGCTGCGAGGGTGCTAGTGCCGGGCTTGGTCTGGGGTACCAAAAGAGGCCAACCCCGGCCCCAAGTCAGGAGTATAGTGGAAGCCTAAAAGTTGGAAGCCCAAGAGCCTCAATCCTTCAGAATAATGCATAGGGAATCCTAGCAGTATTTGGCCATAATGGGTTTCCAACTTTATGGGGTTTACTGTATATCTTATGCCTTACACAACAAGGCTCGCAGTACGCAGTAATATTCAGGACCCGATAATCTAAGGCTTTTTCCTTCATAAACGGGTGTCATGTTCCAGGCCCTTGGTTACGAAGTCCCTGAAAAAGAAACTCTGGGAAATCAATCATTGCGGATGCCAGCCACAGAACCCCGAACCCACACTCCTTCCTCAAACTCGTGCAGTGTACACCCCATGCTGACGAACGTCCTTCAAAAGGGATTCAGACCGGGATCATCATATCTATGCACTAGATTCTCGGATGCTTTCAAGGCCAAATTCTGCACCCTGCCTGAATCCTGCAACCCTACAGCCCCAAAATCCCAGATCCCTGAACCCCAAGAAGCCCCACATAAAAAAACAGGCCCCGAGCCTCCAAGGAATGATAGCTTGGAGGTTCAAGGTCTTAGAAAGTAAGGTTCCTTGACAGGTTACGGTTACTGAAAGGGGTCAATAAGGGTGTAAGGTTCTAGAAAATGGGATTTAGTAAATACCGCGTCAAGTACTTTCCTTGTTTATGATCCTAGTTTCTAAGTCCCATGATCCTTTAAGCACCATCACCATGTCAAACTTTGAAGGTTTAGCGTTAAGGGGGTTTAAGGTTCAGTTTACGCTTCACGGGTTAAGGGGTTTAAGGTTTAGGGTTAACGGGTTAAGGAGTCAGGGTTCAAGTTCGACATTGAGTCTTTGCACCCCAACAACCAGAACCCTGAACCGCACCTGAAAGATCATGGGACTCAGTGACCACGGCTCTACACAAGGTAACTACATCGAGCCCCACTTAGAGTACTGTATTTGCAGCCTTGCTTACTAAGTCCCACGGTCCTCCAAAAATACTTACCGCACCGCACTGACCCAAGACCTCAGAAATCCAAACACCTACACCCCCAAACACTTCTGAACCTCAAAGGTGGCCCCGTAGTCCACTGCGAGCATGAAACCTGCCGCAGTCCACACGAAGATGCCGCCAGGGAGTTCTTCAAAAACACAGGGTCTCTGGGTTCAGGGCTCTCCATTTAAAAGGTCCAGGGTTTAGGGTTTAAGAGTTTGGGGTTTAGGGGTTCATAGAGATTGTTAAGGGTGTGGGTGCCAAAAGCTTTTTGACCGAAAGCTTTGACCGAAACATTTTTGCCCAAACGTTTTGACCGAAAGCATTGACAGGGTTTTCTTGTCGAACTTGGTTGTTGAGTTGGTGAGCCGGGAGGCTGGACTGGGATCTGGGGCTGGGAATTCCTTTAAGAACTGCCTGGGCTGTCGGGGACTGGGCTGGGCTGGCCTGGGAAAAGGAGCGGCAATTCTGACCGAAACGTTTGGAGCAGGTTTTCTGACTGAAACTTGATTTTGGAAGAAAATTGGGTGCTGGGCTGGGCTGGATGTTGAGCGATAGAAATTTACGTTTTGAACAGGGTTTCTGACTGAAACCTGATTTTTTGGAATTGGGTGCTGGGATGGGCTGCCTGTTGGGCGAAATGAATTTGGGGTGTGGGGGGGGGGGGGGGGGGCTGGAACAGGGGTCGGCTGGGGCTGGGCTGGGCTGGTGGCACAGAACTTTTGTGACTGGAACCTGTGACCAGAGCGAAACAGGTTGTGCGACCAAGATCTCGACTGCACTTCGTTAAAGTTGTGCTTTCCAGCCGTTCAGGCACATTCTGAACTATCGTGCAGTTGAAACTGTGGGCCTCCATATTTCGCGCAGCTGCAAATCTCAGCCGGCATCCCGAACTCTTCTTTTTGCACTTCCTGCGGCGCACACACTGCAGCGATCGCTCAGACCTGGCAGTCAGAGTCGCTGGACGTCTGTGCCGGAGAGTTGGGATCGAATGTGTGGCCCGATCTCATCTAGTAGGTCCTTCCCAAGCCCACACTTGGGAATAGAAGCTGTGGCGCCATCGGTAGCAAGACGGGTCCGGCAAGCCCTCCACTTCTTCGCCTCACCACGTGTGGGATGAGTTGCCGACCTGACTCTGACAGAGCTGAGTGCGACACAGACCCAGCCATCCTGTATGAAAATGTCGATGGCCTTGTGGATCTTGAAGACACGCCCTTGCAACAAGGGCCGTCAGATAACGATTGCAGACATGTTGAAACGTCCCAGATCCCTGCGCGCAGCTTCTCCCGGATTTCGCGGATCTTTCGCCATCGCGCTTCCGCAAATTCCCACACGTACTACAAACGGCCTGTCGACCGTGTGCAAAACATGCAGTCGGCACTCCTTATAAGCTCCGGTACAGTTAGCTCTCGGCTCCGGGCGTTGCTCGTTGCCGTCGGCTGCTGTCCACTTGTTTAGCCTGGCACGGAAGCAGGTCACCGACAAAACGCGCATTACAGGACGAGGTGGGGACTGTTTTGGTGTGAGCGTGTTGCGGAACGCCTTGTCTGCGGCTCGGTTCTGCCTGGCATCACTGTCATGTATAGGCACTCTGATTGTAACCGAATCGGTCTGAGAAGCTGGCTGCACGCAATGTAATGCCGGGAAATCGTCCATCCTGCGGGGCGTAGCAGCGTGGCAGGCATGAGATGGTATATGCAGTACGGCTATGCGACCCTTTGCGCACCTGACGCAGGGCAGCGCAGGAATGGAAGGATCAGAAAGGTGAGGCTAGAACCCTTTCGGCTGGCTAGTTTGATCTCAGCGGGCCGAAAGACATAGTGAAGTCTCGACACGCATGCTCGGTCCAATGTAGAGGTGGAACCGAAACAGAAGGGTTTGTGGAACCCTGCCAGAAAACACTGACTTATCGGTGCATGCATCATACTTGGTCACCTGGTTCAGGCATGAGATTGCAGCTGGGATGCTTGGCCAGCAATGACAAGCAATGTCTGTTTATTTCTTTCTTGAGGGTGTAGGGTTTGGGGTTTACGGTTTAAGGTTTAGGGGTTTAGGGCGTCTATACGGGTTAGGGTTCAGGGGTTTAGGGTTTATGGTTCAGGGTTGCTTATCACATCAATTAAATGACTTACAGCCTTACATACTGAGCCCACCCTAAACCCTTACGATGCCTTCAGGAAAATCCTTCAAGATCCTTCTAACAACCCTTTCAGGAGCCTGACTCACAAAGCCCCATGAGGTTCCTCAAGGGCTCTGGAAGCGTTCTCTGTAGGAGCTGCAAGTACATTGCGGCACATTGTTTAGTCGAGGGGTTCTTGGGTCTCAGGGATGTCAAAAGCTTGATTCCCGTTCGGATTCTGCACAGAAGCCCTCGACAGGATTCAGGGCAAGCCGCAGCCTTTGCTGGAACTGTCCCTGAACGGCGGATTCACGAGGATGTGGTCTCATGTTGACTATCCAACACATGCGAAGTCTGAGGCGTTGTGAAGCCTTCGGGACGCATGAAAAGATGTGCGACAACCATCGAATCGGACATGCGTGTGTTTGACAAGATAAAGGCTTTCATGTGTTGGTTTCACCATCGAGCACCCTGCGCCTGCGTCAGTTTCAAGAAATTGACCCTGGGCACCAGACTGTCCGGTGTCGTACACTGCAGTTGCTCGTTCAGGACAGAGTCCAACACAGACTTGATCAAAGGGTTTAGGGCAACGTCTTGCCGTGATGGTGAATCCCATCCTGAGCGTTGTCGCCCATGATGAGAAGTTTGCCTCATCGGGCCCCCCCTCTCCCCCTTGTCCCACCCGCGCGCCTCAGCTTCTCTACAAAAACAAAAGCTACCACCACAAATGTTGGGCTTGAGACTTGGTGTGCCTTGGTGTGGGCTTTTGTGGGATTCAATCTCAAGAGCCGTACACCGAAGCCAATACCCCCCAATGAACAGTCTCTATACGGTCTAAGACACCGCTGTATATGAAGCTTGAGATTCTAGAAAAGGTTCCGCCTAACACCACAGCAGCCCTCATCTATCGGGCAAAGGTTTGATCTTGACGCCTCCTGCGTCCCCTAGGGGTCCAAAGGACCCAATAGGTAGGTACTTGGGTTTGGGGTCGTAGTTTTGTAGGTTACTATTCTGGAGAGTATATGATACTTAGGTGTTTGGGTTTAGGATCATAGTTTTGTAGGTTACAATTTTGGAGAGTATATGATAATTACCTGGACCACAAAAGTGTGTAGACTAATGGCCTTTTGTAGTTTTTTTTTTTTTTTTTACCTACTTTGGGGGGTCTAGGTAGGTACTTGGACCCTAAGGCTCAAAAAGGCCCAAAAGCCTTAAATAATATGGTCTTCAGGCCCAAAAGCCTGAAAATATGAGTCCTTAGAGCCTTGGGGTTAGGTACCTGGATCTGGACCCTGAGGCTCTCTGTCTGTATCAAAATCCCCCATGTCTTCTGGAACCTCGACAACTCGTCCTTCTGCCTCTGGTTCTGGCCCACCCACCTCACCTCCTCCCCCCATCAAAAAACACCTGAACCCCAAATGCCACACCTAAAACCCTAAACTTCCTAAACCCCCAAAACCCCAAGCCCGAAACCACAAACCCTAAACCCCAGACCCCAAACCCCCAAACCTAAAACCCCGTAAAACGCACCTCCTGCCGGGCTCAGCAAGCAGTCCACGAGCTCGACGAAGTTGCGCTGACAGGCAGAGGTGCATGCGGGCTTTCTCTGCTCCAAGGTTCCTTCCGGGCCTTTAGTGTTTAGGGTTTAGAGTTTAGGGTTTAGGGTTTAGGACGACTATAAAAACATCCATACCAGGACCACCAATGGCCCTCTCATAGAGCCCTTACGGTCCTTGATAGTGGGTATTTAGGGCTTTGTGTATTCAAAGGTTCTTTCAGTGTTCCTTCAAGAGGGCTGCTATGAAGGGATGTACCAGGGTTCCTTTAAAGGGTTCCGCTGCAGGGTTCCTTTAAAGATTCTGTAAGGAATCTATCAAGTCCTTATTCAAGGCTTAAGGCTTTTCTTGACCCCATTCTGTATTCAGGGCCTTAGTGTGGCTCAAAAAGGGAGCGTACGAGGGAACCTTACGGAACTCAAACAAAATTTGTTAAGGGTCTGGATGCCGATAAGTGTTAACGTGTTGAGCCGCTTTTCCATTTGAAACCTGATTTCAATCTTGGGGCTGGGATGTTTCAAGGTGCACAACCCTAAACCCTAAACTCTGATATGGTGTTCTTGAAGGTCTTTCGTGATTGTGTTGATCGGCTCTTGAGGGGGTCAAGGTGTAGGGCTCTAGGGTTTCGGATAGCAGCGGCTTCTTTCACCTGACATTACTAGACACAGGTCTAAATTCTAAATCCTATAAGTTCCCATAAAGCCCCGCAAGCTGCAAACTAGTAAGTCACACACCCCGCACCTTCTGCACTGCTCCCCATCCAAGTCTAAATCAACAACCCTACGCCATCATCCCAATTTAAAACCGTGAACTTCAGGGTTTGGACATCTGGGTCTGGGGTTTGGGTGTAGGATTTTCCCAGCTAAGGGATCCACCCCTGTAGAGTAAACCCCATAAAGTTGGAAGCCGGATAAAGGCCAAATAGTCCTGGGATTCCCTATACATTACTCTTAAGGATTGAGGCTATTGGGTTTCCAACTTTTGGGCTTCTACTGTAGGTTAAACCCAATCCCCAACACAAGGCCCGGAACGTGCCGCGACACAAGGCAACAGAGAGAATCGGTGTAGGGCGTACCTATAGTATCCATTAAATTGTAGTTCCTTTTTTTGATTAGCCAAAAACGATATTGTAGGATCCTAACCATAAACTTGGTTAAGCAAAAACGATATTATAGGATCCTAATCATAAACTGGGTTAACCAAAAAGGGAACTACAATGGAGACTACTATACTGAACTTAGAACCCTAGCAACAATTATAATTTTAGCTGTTTCTTAGGGATTATCATAACCAAAAATTAAAAATCATTTCTAAGTACCCCTAGGATTATAGGTAGAGCCGGATTCGTGCCAGGCCACAGGTTCCCAGCTGTGGGAAGTTGAGGATTCCCTGAAGGACGAAATCACTCCTAAACTCCTACACCTAAATCCTCGACACTGAAACTCTAAACCCCTCAATCCTAAACCCGCGCTTTAGGGTTCCTCCTGTATGTAAGGTAGGCCTAGGCTTTGCCATGCACAAACGCGTATAAGGCGCACGCTGCATGTCTGAACCAACTTGAACCCCCAAAATGCCCAAGAAAGCCTTAAAGACCCTTAACGCCTTCAGCACCCTCAGCACAAAACGGCGAAGAGAACACACCAAAACCCTAAAACACCTAACCAAAAAATCTGACTTCCCGATTCTTGGGCCTCACCGGGCGCACTACTCACCCATAAACTCCTAAACCCAGACCCTAAATCCTAAACCAGTTCTTTGGGGTTCCTATACCGAACTTAGAGCCCTAGCAAAAATTGTAATTTTATCTGTTTCTTAAAAAATATACTAACCCACAACTAAAACTATGTCAAAGTACCCCTAAGGTTCCGTCGGCAAGTAAGGCCTCCCCAGGGCGCACCAGAAGATGAAGGTTCGGATAGCCGAGAGGCCTCTGCTCGGAAGCTTTTTCAACTTAACCCATAGTTATAGTACGGAACCATAGTTATAATAAGGAACCATAGTTATAATAAGGAACCATAGTTATAATAAGGAACCATAGTTACAAGTATAATAAGGAATCTCCCAGAACAGATTATAGTACTAGGATTCCCGGTAACCTAGGGATAAAAAGGGCTCCCTTTTTGGTATTGGCTAAATTTATAAGGAACCTAGGACTACAAAAAGGGAATAAGGGTACTACTGGGCATCCTAAAGTAAGGAACCTCCCGAAACAGTTTAGGTAATTAGTAAAGCTCCTATATTAATTGGAATAGGGTTCCTCTTAACGGCCTCCTCGAATGCAGAAGCCAGACGAGTTAGAAATAGGCTGGGGTTTGGAGCGGATTTTGCACTAAGTGGGGAACCGAGCAAGACTCGGAGTACACACTCATATATATATATATATATATATATATATATGTATATGTATATGTATATGTATATGTACGTCTACACACATAACATACTATATATTGCTATTTAGTTATTGAGGTTTATCGCCGAGGCCTCTGCGCCCTGAACCTGACTCTAGGCCGCACACTGCACCACGAAATTCGAAAGCCTCAACTGCAAAAGTAAAGGTCCAGACCTGAGGCATAAGTTTAAGCCTTCAGGGCCCTAAACCCTTGAATATTTAAAGCCTAAACCCCAAACCCTAAACATTAAAACCCTGAACCCTCAACCCCAAACCCTATAAACCCTATAAACCCTATAAACCCTATAAACCCTATAAACCCTATAAACCCTATAAACCCTATAAACCCCAAACCCTATAAACCCCAGACCCTCGACCCTGAAGTTTCGGTGGAACTCTTGGGGTTCAGGGCGTCGGCTGTCTTAGAAGCGACTCCAAGGTTTCAAAAGCCCGCGGAAAGGTCCGAGTACCGAAACAGTAGGGTTTGGGGTTTGGGGTGTAGAGTTTAAAGTTTTTTTTTTAGGGTTTAGGGTTTAGGGTTTTGGGTTTAGGGTTTAGGGTGTAGGGTTTAGGGTGTAGGGTTTAGGGCTTAAGAAGAGGGGTTTAGGGCTTCGGGCTTGGGGTTCGTCACTTTGGGGAGTACCCAAACCGAAGGGCTTACTTAAAGGATCATGGGACTTAGTAACTAGGCAGCCTTAAAAGGGCTCCTTTAAAGGGATCTATAGGGGTTCCTTAAAGGGATCTATGGGGTTTAGGGTTTAGGGCTTACTTAAAGGATCATGGGACTTCGTAACTAGAGTTGTAATTAGGGTAATTATACTAAGAACTACTTATAACTCCTTAGTAACTAGGGTTGTAATTAGGGTAATTATACTAATAACTACTTATAACCCCAAGTAAGGTACATATAACCTTACTTACTAAGTCCCATGATCCTCCAAGTAGGGGAGGGCCTCAGGGCCTCTGTCCTCCCTGGGGCCACTGCCTGTAGATGCTGATCAAGCGCGAGATTCGAGCCTCGCAGCCGCTTTCGGCGAGCAAAGGGGCCGATGTGACTAGATTTAAACGTATTATGGTTGCTATCTTTACATAACCCGAGCCCTAGTCCGTATAGAACCCGCAACAGGAACCCTTGAAGACATATCATCACAAAAAGACTATGGTGTGACACCCTATCCTGACAACACCCGAACCCGATTTGAAGCCATCTGGGCTGCTTGTGGTGCACAATGCAAAGCGTTTTAGGTTCCTTATTATGATTTCCTTAAATAAACCCATAAAGAGGTAGGTAAGTTGGGGTCTAGGTAAACCATAGACCTCAAACCCTACACCCCAGCCCTTCAAGGAACCCTTACGGTAAAGATATGTAGTCATATACGGACTAGATGGCGACACCCAATATGAACATAACCCGAACCCAGCTTGAAGCCATCAGGGTGGTCCAAACCCGAAAACCAAGCCCTAAACCCTAAACCCTAAACTCTAAACCCTTTAGAGGAACCCCTATAGATCCCTTATAGAACCCTCTATAGATCCTTCAAAAAGGAGTCCTAAAGCCCTACAGATCACTCTGAAGGAACCCTAAAAAGCCTAGCATATCCTGCGTTCCTGGTGGAGAGTCGGGAGCTCAGGCCCAATGATGGGTTACTTGGGGGTTCAGGGGGTTTAGGGTTTAGCGTTTAGGGTTTAGGCTATAAGTGGGGGTATAAGTAAGGTAGCTATGACTATAACCCATAGTAGTTAGGGGACTTACAACTCCGCTATAACTGCCCAGAGAGCCCAATACCCCTTTATTAAGGAATATCGTTTAAATCATAATATGACGCCCTTTATTTTTTAAATCCATCTTCCTTAATTAAGGGGTATTGGGCTCTCTGGGTACCCATGAACTTGAGGCTCCAATCGGGAGTCCGTAATCTCGACTTTCAACAGAGCACCGTGGTTCCAAGCCACAGCTAGGCGCAAGCACAGAAAGTGAACGGTTGAAATGAAACACAGGGGCCTCGATACTTAGAAGAAGGTATACTACGGTTGATGATAGAAATCCTGCACTACCCATTTTAAGGAATATACCCTAATTCCCATTTTTTAGGGCCCTTAAGGTAATGCAGGATTTAAATCATGAACTGTACATCAAGGTTCTGACAAGGAACCACAAGGAATCGTATTGCTAAGTGTTTGGGCTTCTATGTTAAGTCTGCTTCAGGATGGTGGATAACGCTGAGGAAATCGAAGCCATAGGAAACACGACCCAACAACATGCAAACATTGAAAGGCAGGTAAGAAACTACGTATTGCGAATGCAACACCTTAAACACTAAGACAGTAAAGTGAACCTGAACACCAGAAGTGACCTAAATCTTCAAGCTTTAGGAAACCCCAAGGAATAAAACCCAAAGACAGGGCAGTGTAGACTTGACACCCCCGAAACCTTAGCCTATAGACGCTGAACCTCGATCCCAAACCCGCAGCTCTGAACCCTAAAACCCTGCACCCTAAACCCTAACCCTGAATCCTATAAACCCTGAACCCTTAACCCCGGCCCTAACCCTGAATCCTAAACCCTGAACCCTTAAACCCCGGCCTAACCCTGAATCCTAAACCCTGAATGCTACGGTTGAGGATATAAATCTTGCATTACCTTAAGGACCCTAAACTATGGGAATTATGGTATAGTCCTTATTATGGGTAATGCAGGATTTCTATCATCAACCGTACGCCCTGAACCCTGAACCCTAGGCCGATCGCCTCGTGGACTTCGAACCACCACCTCGGACGCCCCCAAGAAGGGGGCTAGGAGGTTTAGGGGGTTTAGGGGTTCTGGGGTTTAGGGTTTAGGATACTTGGGTTTAGGGTTCTTGGGTTTAGGGTTCTTGGGTTTTGGATGGTTTGGGGTGTTTTCGGGTGGTTTATGGATTTAGGGCCTGTAGGGCATCGTTAGGTTAGTATATATGCATCGCATGTGTCAGTGAGGGATACGTGGGTTCTTGGGGTCCGAAAGCTTAATCCCCAAACCCAAGAACCAAAAACTGCGCTCGATGTGCCTGGATTTGGGAGTTTCCGAAAATAGGGGGCCCTAATACAGTACCCTAAATAGTAGGATCCTTATATTAAGGGCCCCAAAACAAGGTACCCCTGATTATCGGAAACTCCCATTTGAATCCCTGTCGGGTTGGGGTTGGATTTAGGGATTCTGGGATGCACTCTGGTTAAGGTTTAGGTTTAGGGGTTTAGGGTTTAGGGTTTAGGGTTTAGGGTTTAGGGAGTGCTTGAGGGTGGAGAGCTTCGGCGTTGAGGCTCCGAATTCCTGCGTGGTATTTAGAATTTGGCTTCGCAGCCGAACAAAAGTCGCCCAGATGAACAAACTCTGAACGACGTGAATCGATAAAGCCTCATGTCTCGAGGGTTGAGGCAAGGTGTCATTCGTGCTTCCAACTCAAAGCCCTAAGGCTCCATGTACCCATATAGTATATACTTAGGCCGTAAAGTATCTATATAGGGACCCCATTAAGGCCTAAGTATCTACTACGACTACGAAGGTACATGGAGCCTTTGGGAAGTGTTGCGTCCTTGGCAACTCGGTTGGACTCGAACGCCACGGCCCCAAAGGCTCCAAAAGCCGCGACGATGCTGGAGCATCCGGTTTTTGATGACTATCGATTGCTGCAGGGACCACCATGAACTCCTGCTGCACGTGCAACTTCTACTTGAATCTGCTTTTCCGGGCCCGTCCCTCATATCAATCGACCTGAGCTGCCTCTGCTTCGCCTTTGACATTGGAGAAGCACTCTCCAGGGCCCGTTGCACTCTCAGCGCACAAGGTTCGTAACTTTAACCTTAAACCCTATATCCTAAACCCTATAATATAGGTTATGGGAGTCAGGGTGCAAGGTTTCCGGTCCTGAACCCTTGAACCCTAAAACCAGCATGCCCTGATCAGGGTCTAGGATTCTCTGGCTTCCCTAATTAAGACCCTTATAACCCCCATTGGTGCCTTTGAAAGAACTCAAGAACTCTTGTAGGAACTCCCTAAACCCCTATGCTGCCCTTAAAGGAATCATGTAAGAACCCTATTGTAGGAACTGAGCTCACGTGGAGACCTAAGCTAAACTCTGGGAGAGACACTGCAGGTTTGCACAACGCTGCTCCGAGAGAGGCACCGGCACCTGGAATCGTCTAGGGTTTACCAGGCTTAAAACAGGGGCGTTCATAATTGGAACAGGGTTCCCTTCAGGGGGTTCCTTAAAGGGCATAATCAGAAAAGGGTTTTGGAGCTCACTATACCACAGTTCTCATACAATCAGGAGCCCCCGAAAAAGAATAGGAAGTTATTTAGCCTCTACAGTACGGTTTAGGGCTTAAGTGCTTAAGATTTCGACGCTTGAGGGCGTGCGGCTTGCAAAGAGCTCCTTACATAACCATACCACACGGCTTTCTCAGTTCTTCATAAAGTCTTCGGGCTATAGGGTCTAGCCTCTCTTCTTCAACAACCGAGTCCCAAAAAGCTCAAACTTTCTAAGATAGAGCTAATATAATATAAGGCCAGAAAGTTTAAAGTTCGCCCGTTCACTATGTAGGAAGCCGACAAGTTGAAGGGCTTGCGGCAGTCAACTTGGTATGTAAGTTAGTCTGCACGAAGAGTACTTAAGATGTGAAGTTCGGGATGCGCTGTCTGCCAGCAAACAGTCTTACCTTTAACGTCCGTGATCTTGATCCCGATACGCCTGGGTTCCTTCTTGGCCCTGAGCCACTAATTACAGCAGTATTGCAGCCTTACACGCCCCACCCCAGATGCCAGACTTTACCCCCCGAAGAGGGTTATGAGGCAAACAAGAAACCCTCACAAACCAGATCATTACCAAGAGGGTCCATAGACACTACCACAATGGAATTAGATACCAAAAGACCATCCCTATTATGGTTTTTGGGCGCCTACTTCCATAATGGTAGTATACATGGACCGTAAACCCTATGGAACCCTTACAGGAACCCTTACAGGAACCTTGACAAAACCCTCAAAGAAAGCCTTATTGTAACCCTGCTTGTGTATATGGGGCCTCTGGGTTACTAAGGATTTCTCGAAACTCGCCGGCCCACGCCTGCCGCGTGAGCGTTCGGCTCAGGAAGAGCACCTGGCAGAACTTTTTAGCGGCTCATGCTTTGTTTAGGGTTTAGGGGTTTTAGGGATTTAGGGTTTAGGGTAAGAGATTTGGGTTTAGGGTGTGTCGATGCTCCGCACACACGACCGCGCGAGACGTGTATTGTGGTGTGCGACCAAGTTCAACGCTCCCATCCCACCCGCCCACCCAGTCTACGACCTTTGTCGGGTTTAGGATCCCGGATTGTCATTGAGATTTGTGTCCGAGTCTGGGGGGCATCGCCTCTCACTACATCCTAAACGCAGAAACCTAAATCCTAAACACGGTTCCTAAATCCTAAACCCTGGTTCCTAGATCCTAAACCCTGGATCCTAAATCCTAGACCCTGAAGGCCCGGAACCTTAAATCCTAAACCCTAAATGCTGCGAATCGAAAAAACAAACTTCCCGTGAGCCAAAACCATTGAACTCCAAGACACTGAAGGGCCTCAAAAAACAGGAATAGAATAAGCGACATTTACTGGTTCATGGTCAGGACAGGACTAAGCATTTAGAGCTTTATGCCTTATTGGGTTGAAGCAACCATAAAGATGTAAACTGTTACCCATCTATGACAACATTTAAGGGCTCTTCAGCGAGAAAGGCTTCAAGGCTTGTAGGGTTCCTTGAGCTACGATACAAGGACTATAAAAGGTGATCTTCTTACTAGTTCATCAGTGATCAGACCTCTACAGCAAGTCCACAGCCAGAACCCCCAAAAACCCCAAACCTTCAAGTCGCAAATACAAAGAACGCTCAGTCCAAGCTCGACACTCCTACTTATAGGAATCGTTGCAAAGATATCCTAAAGCCTAAACCCTAAACCCCAACCCTAAGCCCCACCTGGACCCCAAATAAACAATATATCTTTAAGGGGCTTCTATATCCGTAAGCATGTAAGTTTTATGGGGCCCAGGTAAACCCTAAACATCCCTACTCACAAACACCCTTATACTCACCCTTATTGAAGATCAGGTCTTACCGCAGATGATGACAAAGGTCCATCCATTGCAGCCTGACTCTAAAAACAATCTTTTTCGCACGCAACCAAAAGCTTCAGTCTGAGATCGTGATGTACAAATGGTGATCTCCGTGCTATGCCAGTGCGGTACACTTCTCGGTTTTGTGTACAGTGGTATGCTACTATAGCTTTACATGGCCAAGGGGGCATGTGATTCCGTAGCCTTCCCCTGGATCCGAAGTAGCAACGCAGACAAGAGCTTCACTATACATGCAAACACTTCGCTGTCGCAGTCATCAGTCCTGACTTTCCGCACTCCTCCTTGACCTCGACGCTAGGCTGGGGTCACTCGAGAACTCTGCCCCGAAGTGCTGAGGGTGGTATTGAAAGCCCTCTCATATTCTTGTGCCCTCTCAAGGTCTCGGCCGTAATCAGGAGTCTTATCAGGATCATCAGCAGCCCTGTGACTGCAATACTGGCACAGCCTTCGTCTCTGAACTCGTTCCAAGGTTCCACGATGCCTAAACGCATGACAGTCACCGTAGACGTGGAAGCACTCATTGTCCGGCACCACAAACACTTCTTCTGGAGGTTCATGTACGTAGCGTAGTATCACTCTGGTACCGGGAGCTTGCACTGGCGAAAACGCTGCCGTTTGAACAGATGCATCAACCTGCTCTTTGGTCCCTTGCGCCAGCCGTCGTAGTAGCCGCATCCTCTCTTCGGCATTCGGATCCGGAGCACTCTTCGGCTCAGCTCGTGGAGGCTGAGGTCGGTCGATAAGACTCCGCGCTTGTTGCTCAGCAGGTGTGCGGCGGGCATCCTGAGCACGCCTTTCTGGCCTTGTTTCGAGCCTTACAGCAACCTCCCTCTGAATAGCCTCAGAAGTAGCATCTCTGAGTCGCTGTAGCCTCCTCAAGCGTCTGGCACTTGATCCAGGAGACGCCCTATCGTAGACAGTCCACGCAATCCACTTCAGAGCTTCCCACGACACAACACCCAGTAGCACCAGCAGCCACAAGAGCACCCAAGTAAGCAAGCCATAGTCAACTGACACGCCACTCCCATAGACAACCACTCCTTGTTCCTCAGTTACACGCTCACCAGAAACTGCTTGCGCCAGCACCAGCAATGCGACTAAAACCTTAGGGAGTGGACTAGGGGTGTGAATGCTGCTGCTGCTTGCTTGATTGTTGCTGCTGCTGCTCGCCTGACTGCTTCTGCTACCATCACCTGGAAGTTCTCGCTGACCATCACCTGCTTGTAGCTCTTGATTCTCAATCAAGCCAATGAGGCCACATAGCGCTCTCATTCGCGCTGAAGAAAGTGGTTTCGTCAGGAGATCAGCTGGTTGAACTTCCCCACTGCAATGGTTAAACTCCACAATCCCCTTGGCAATCAGCTCGCTCACCCAAGAACTCTTTAGGCGCAAATGCCTCGTCCTCCAGCTACATGATCCTTTCGCGATTGCCAAAGCCGAAGTGCTGTCGGAGTGCATCTGGAGCTGCAAGGAAACAACTCCGATATCGTGCAGCAAGGCCTGAATCCCTTGCAAAGCCACCAACCCTTCCACTGCTGCCTCAAGCTCTGCTTCCGCTGTGCTCAGACTAATGCACGACTGTCTCGACGATCTCCAAGCAATCACATTCCCGGCCAAGAGCACAATCCAACCAGTGTGGGATCTGCTGGCATCCGGTGCAAACGACGCGTCTACAAACCCAGTCAGGTAGGGAACACAGCTCTCGTACAGCAACTGTCGGCCAATGGTCCGTTGAAGATAGCCCAGAGTCTTCTCCCCGATCTCAACAGCGCGCCTCGGAGCCCGCGTTGCTAGTGAGCCGATCAGCGAGCACACATATGCGATGTCTGGTCGGGTTCTTTGGCTAATCCACAGTAGTTCGCCAGCAATCTGTTGAGCAGCTCGTACTTCACCCTCGTTTGCAGGGCCCTCGTCGTCTGTCGCCACAAAACTCGCAGCCTCCTTGGCAACAGGCACCAAATCTCTCCGCCTTGATGTCATTTCATGGATGCGGAGAAGCTCCTCAATGTATGCCCGTTGCGTGAGCGCAAAGCCCTGGCTTGTAAAGGAGATCTCGATTCCCAAAAAACGGATCTCACCCTCAGTCGCCAACTGAAGAGGGCTGGTTTTCCAAACAGCCTTTATTGCTGCTGCTAGCTCTTTGATCAGCTCTGTTCGCCCGCACAGGAGCAGGTCGTCAACATAGACAACGAGGATCCCGATCAGAACCGAGCCATCCTGTAGCACAGACCACCACGAAGGTTCAACTCGGCCCTGCATAAGCGTCACACGCTTGCCGTCAAACACCAACTGGATTTGGGCCAGCAAATCGTCCCTGTAGGCTCCCCATAGCTTCGGACTTTCTTGTAGGCCGTAGACTGCATGCGTTAACTTCCACAACTCGCCTGGTCGAACCAATCCCGCTCTCACAAGGATTTTTGGAGGAACCCCATACACCAAGGGTGCGCCCTTCACTGCCCGCAGGGGAGTCTGCAAAAACGCAGCAACGATGTCGATGGCCCCGAGATTCCAATTAAAGAACCTTGCCAGAGCGATGGCGGCCCGAACCACTTCTGCCGGAGCGGTGCTAGCAAACACCTCCGATGGGCAATGCGAAGCCATATTCCCACAGATCACAATGCGCGATTTGCGCTTGAAGAACTCCGTGGGCTGCTCCTCCTCGGCCGGAGGATCTGGGGGCTTGATGGTATAAACCACCTTCATCGGGATCAACTGTCCCCTTCCGGAGCTTAGGTCTTCCCGAACTTGAGGATCGTCTCCCATAACTTTATCAACAGCGTGGTCTAACGTGTTCACCTCCTTCTGCAACGCCGGGATCCACTTCTCAAACACAGCCGCTACCTCCTTCGGATTCACGGTATAAACCACTGACACCGGAGAACTCAAAGCATCCAAGATCTCCTCAATGCCATCGGTGTAGGTGACCTCTGCTTTCTTGATGGAGGGCCGAACATCATCACTGGAAGATAGCGTTGCTGTAGCTGTAGATTCATTGTCCAGCACCAGATGCATTTCCCAATCCTCCCAATCTTCACCGGGAATCGGGTCACTTTCACTCACATTGCAAGCTTGCGACGACGTAGAGGACTCAGAAGCCTGAAGTTCCCTTTTGGCAATGGACCAATCACACTTGAACAGGTACTCGCCATCAGAGGTAGGTATCGTTTCCTGCCACCTCCTCCTCGAAGTGGAACGGCTTCAGCTTCAATCCCTTTAGCTACAGGTCTCACCGAAGACACCGACAATGCATTGATGTAAACCTCAGCCGGGGCCTCATCATCCTCAAGCGGCAACGGGAAATCCAACGCCCACAACATCTCTCGGTCCAGTCTCGGTACTGAAGCCAGGAGTGCCGGGGTGTACCCGACGATCACGATTCGCTCCCCTTTCCATGGTAGTACTGCATGACGTCGGTGGGGGTCGAACGAGAATACTCGCCCTTCTTGAAGTGGAAATGCGCAACCATATCGTGCACGGCCTTCTCCGGACAGCAACTCAATAACCTTTCCAGAGACCACATCTCCATCTCTCAACTCCATCCAAAGTTCACCCCCTCGCCTCGGCATACTGATTGGGAGCAAATGATTCATGGCGCCGAGAGCATTGTTGCGGTCAATGTGTACTTCGCGCTCATTATTCATGGACACAAAGATCGCCGCATATTCCGCATCCGACGCTCTATCTTGCATCACCTTGTTCAGCAGCATGGCGAACCAGGGTCGCTCCACAGTGGACTTCGTGACTCCAATTCGTCCACCATGGCGAAACATCCCATACACACGCTCATCTTCTGGTAGTAGTCGCGCAACATCCCGGACCAAGCACTCTGCTGCTTCCAGGTTCCAGCTCTGCAACAGCACCTCCGCCCTTTGCTGGAACTCGCCCTCATCGAACACCTGAGCCTTGGACACTGCAACCACATCACCAGACCCAGACGCCTTTCCACGCACTCGCCGTTCGGGGGGTCCAGGTAGATCTGCTTGAACTTCTTCTTCAGGTGGCCCTGGATCATGTAAGCCCGCTCGAACATGTAAAGTGTGAACAAAGCGTTCTCCTTCTCCATCACTAACATACACCAAGTGGCCTTTGCTGAGACTGTCGGACAAACCCACATAGACTCCAGACAGCCACCTTGGCGCAAGGTCATCAAGCTTTGGTCCATCCAAATGACGCTTGCGAACCAACACTTTAGAGCCATACGGGGCAGCGAGCTTTGGTTCAAAGCCGAGAACATCTCCTCGCTGCATAGAGGCTGCCACGCTGATTGCGGAAGGCCACAAACGTTGAGGGAGTCCTGCTGATAGTAGTAGCGCTCTCGCCCTCTGCTTCAGCCATCGAATCGTTGACTCTGCTGCGCCATTCGTCTGGTGGACACCTGCTTCTGACGTAGTCACTCGAATCCCCTCGCCCTTTAGCCATTGGCGAGTTGCCCTGGCCCTGAATTCCATGCCCCGATCGGCATGGAAACGCAGCACTGGTATATTCAGCGCCCTGCAGTAGAGGATCACATCCTGGACCGCTTCAAGAACCGTAGGGGCTTTATCATCTTTCAACCCACACGCAAAGATGAGGTTCACCAGCTCCGGGCCACCCAGGTCACTGTCCTCCTCGGGATCTCGCCTAGGCACCTCTTTAAGCTCTGGCTCTATATCCTCACCTTCTTTTTCACGCGGATCTTCTCCTCCTGGGTCCCTTTCTCCTCCACTTGCTGGGGCCAGCCCGTCGTCCTTTTCCTCGTAGTCTTCCTTGCTCATCTCGCCAGGGTCGTAATCGAGCCACACGCCCCGGCCGTCTTCCACGAAGGACTTAGGAACTCGTAGCTTCGCGGCAAAGATGTACTTGAACTGCCGCGGAAAAGCTCCTCTGCCATCAGGGTCCACACCGCCGACCTTGACTGCACCTGACAGGTCGGCTGAAAGCACAAACGCCGACGGGTGTTCGACCCTGGAATGCCGGCGCCCTGTGCCCCCGGCTTGGACGCAGACTGTGCAGTCGGCGCGAAACGGAAGATGCCCTCGTCGTACATGGTCTCGCCACTGCTCTGCGCTCATTTTCAACATTCTCGGAATCTTTCCCCAGTCCCGGAGCACAATGACCAGGTGCTCGTAGAACTCCTGTGGCCAAACACACCCTGGAGCTCTTACTGGAGGAGGTCCATCTGAATGCCACCGTAGGCGAAGCCCATCCAGGTGTCGAAGTGGTAGATATTGGTCCCCACTGTAGTATGCCTAGTGAACGCTTTCCCCAAAGCCGCCATGTCGAAGCTGTAGGCTTGTAGCCCCGCTTCCATTGCGTACTCTGACCACAACGAAGTCCTCCACAAGCTCACAACATCCGGGTACAACGGATCCTGAAACTTCAAATATCCACGCGGATCCCGAGGGTGCTCAAGAAGAAAAGCAACCTCCTTGCTCACGGTGGGGTCGTGCGGAGCTCGCAGCCTTCCTGCCGTCGCGAGGGCATGAAGGTAGATCATTCTCGTGATGAGCTGCGTCTCCCGGTTCACCTTGAAGAGGTCACTGTCGGATTGTCCTGGCCAATTTCCAAACAGAAACTCATTGGAGCGGACCGGTTCCGGGCCACCCACGACGTGGCGCGAAATCATGAAGGTACTCTGAGGCGGTCCTCCAACAATCGCCCCGATCTTTCCCATCCTGGCTCCCCACTCCAACGCTCTCCAGGTACTCGCCCTCAAAACATCATGAGTTATGCCCCTCTCAATGTCCAGCTCCAGAATCGTGTACCCGTGGCCCTCCAAGTGCCGAAACTCTCGTCGATCTGCCTTTCCTGCGTACAGATGAACAAGCCACTTGTCCGAAGCCCATAACCGCTTTCGAGTTTTCCTGTTCAGGTGCTCCAACCCTTTCAAGGCTTGCCACCCATTGGCCTCCGGCACTGCATCCACCAGACCAGCCTTGCATTCACGCGGAACTTCTTGAAGGAAGGGCGCGCTCTCCACCGCCTTCAACGCCTGGGACGACAACCCTCCATCAATGTAGGAGAGCAAATAGTCGAACCATGTTCGCTCCATCGCAAGGGCAGCTGCCTTCACCTTGGTCCGGGTATCTTTCGTGTTCTCCCGTAGCTCTTCCAGTCTTGCATCTTCCAACTGGGAGATCAGCTTCAAGGCTTCCTGCTCCGTAACTTCGGGACACCCGTCACGAACGCGAAGAACAATGACTTCCCCATTCTTGCCTTCCAACTTGCACTTGGTTTTTCCCCAAGTCATCGTATATCCCAGCTGACTTACCAGGGCACCCAAGGGCACGATTGGCAGAGTTGAGGATGCCGCTGTCATCGAATTGATGGGCACCAGGATAGTGCCGGCCGCATTCATGCGAAGGCTAATGGATTCACCACCCGCCAGGTTCACAGTCACCGGATCAGACTCTTCCCACTCCTCCTGGGACGAGGCCCTCCTCAAAGCATGCGTGGCTCCAGAATCAACCAAAGCAAACATGGCCAACTCATCTGAAGCCGCCTCCGTCCTCTTCAGCGCCAATACATTCATTGAAGGTGCTTTGGGATTGGGCGGCTGCGCCCCTGCCACTTTCGCCGCTGCCTGCAGAAGAGTCTCCAAGGTCCAGACAGGTTCTCCCGCGACCACATGGGCTGAAACACTCGGCGATTTTTCCCCTTCAGGCTCAACGCTGGTGATCTTCGGAACATTCGCTGGGGAGGTACTCGAAGGCGAGGCTGAACCATGAGCCGGAAACCCAGCTCCAGCGCTTGGTCTCCCGCCTTGCTTGGGTGTCTTGGTGGGGCAGTCCTTTTGCCGGTGCTCTTCACTCCCACATACTAGACATTTGCGCGCTCGTTCGGCCTTGCTCACACTGTTGAGATCGTGTGTATATGGACATCGCTGGCCCCGTCGGCATCCTCCTTGCTTCAAGAAGTATTTACACGGGGGCTTTGATGGACTTGCCGAAGAAGCTGAAGGACTGGAAGGCGAGGTAGTCATGGCCTTGATTGCAGGTGTCTGAACGGGTAAAGCAGCCCTCGCAGCAATCATCGATTCAACTTCCGCCTGCAGGTGCTGGTGGTACTTCACAACGTCCATGAGTCCCGGCTGCCCGTCTATCCTTAAGCTCGACCTCAACAATTGGGTGCGGAAGTGGGTGTCCTGGTTCTCCGCAACAAACTTTGCCGTCACGGTTGTAAGGGCCTTCGCAAGGATCGTCCCGTCTGGAACCATCATATTCAAATCCTTGCATCTCTGCACCCATCTTGGCCAAGACCGCAACCATGTCAAGGCGTCGTCCACTGTGGTGGGCTGCGTCGGGCTCTGAAGGTTTCCGAGCACCGCAGAGCGCTCATTGGCACCTCCAGGTTGGTAGCACGTGTGCAACCTGAAAAGCATGAGGGGTGCACTTTGGACCGCTCTTCTTGCAATCAGATCCAATCTGATTGCTTCCACAAGGCTCTGAAGGATCAGCGAACACGCCCGCGAGTTGATCCTGGTCCACCTAGCGGACGTCCATGCTTCGTGTCCAGTAGGCTCAAGCTGAAGTCGCTCAAGAGGTGTAGCTGCTAGCCATTTGGAATAGGCTTCACGAACAAGACCTAGAACACCAGCCCACCAAGTACCCGAAGCAGCAGAAAGGTCTTGCATCGGCACTGCTACCTGCGCCAGCCAGTCCTGGAACACGATGCCAGCGTTCGTGCCCTCCGGCCCCGGTAGCATCGGGAGGTTGGTGACGTTGGACTTGACCTGCTCAGGCGAATCATCCCTCTGTAGTGACTTGGCTTGCAATTCCTGGAGGCTGGTCAAGTTCTTCGTTAGGGCGTCCAAGATTGCCATAGTCGTAGGGTCCTCTACTGCACTTTCTCTCGCGGGATCTGCACTTGGGGCTTCTACTTGAGGTGGTTGTGCATGTCGTCCTTCTTGTGGAGGGGCTACTCTGCGGGATTGAAATTCTTCCCACAGGGCTCCAAGCGGATCGCGCCACGGATCTGGACGCCCTTCATGCCCACGAGAAGGCTCGCCTGGAGGTTCGAAAACGCGTCCTTGTTGAGAGGAGGGATCTACTCGAGGCTCCTGCACACTCTCAGGTACTGTTACAGCTTCACGAGGTGGTTGTGCCTGAAGTTGCCGGTGGGCCTGCGCAAGCTGTTCATTCAACCGAATGTTCTCTCCCTCCATGATCTGCAACTTATCCAGTAGTCCTCCGAGCTGTCTCTGCACCTCTGCTTGTATTGCCTCTGCTGGGATGCTGCTGCTGCTAGGCGGTGTGTGCTGGTTGGGGTTTACGGGATTACTATAAACCCTAAAAACTCCTTCTCTTCCACATGGTCCAGCACTTGGCCTTGGCAGTCCAGAAGTACCACCAGCATGCTCATCAACGTTCATGTTCAACAAGCGAGGCCTGGGAGGCGACGGTATGGGGCTCGGTAGCCACTGAACCGCTGGTGCCTTGAAGAACTCTCCAAGGCGGGTCACCCAACCTGGGAGGTGACCCTGAAAAACTGGTCTCGCTCCGCCACCGCCTGGTCCAAATGACCTTGTTGATCGTGGCGTGTGGTAGTCTCCAGCGAAACCTTCTCCACTACCATCATAGAAAGACGCTCCACCCCGCAACTCAGAGTCACGAACAGCTGATCCACCTCCGCTTGTGCCGGCTTGGCCTGCAATGTCGGCGCGAGTCTCTGATCCCTGTACGACAACTCCTGCAGCAGGGGTCTCCACACGTCCCCCATCTTGATCATCTCCATTTCCAGACAAAGTCGGAGCTGGCAACAAAGACCGTGCCTGATCTGCACCTTCACTGCTCTTTCCTCCCCCCTGTCCAGCATCTTGCCCGGGTTCGGATCCGACAGCAGCTGCCAGACCCGAGCCTCGGGCTCCGGTTTCCGCCTCCACTCCTTCCACTCGAGGAGCTCCAGCATCCACCCCATTCTGCAGCGGAGCGCTTTCTCCAGCTTGGGAACTCATAACCTGAAGATCAGGTCTTACCGCAGATGATGACAAAGGTCCATCCATTGCAGCCTGACTCTAAAAACAATCTTTTTCGCACGCAACCAAAAGCTTCAGTCTGAGATCGTGATGTACAAATGGTGATCTCCGTGCTATGCCAGTGCGGTACACTTCTCGGTTTTGTGTACAGTGGTATGCTACTATAGCTTTACATGGCCAAGGGGGCATGTGATTCCGTAGCCTTCCCCTGGATCCGAAGTAGCAACGCAGACAAGAGCTTCACTATACATGCAAACACTTCGCTGTCGCAGTCATCAGTCCTGACTTTCCGCACTTATAGTAACCCTTAAAAACCCTTGTAGTAATCCTGAAAAGAGCCCTTAGAGGAACCCTTCACCGCTCCCTGGAGCTCTCAAAAACGAGTGATTTAGGCTGTGGGCAGTTATAAGTCGGGGTTTATGAGTAAGGAAAACCCCTTAAGCCCGCGAACTTGATTCGCCGCCCGCACCTCGATGGCGGGCGCCTGTAGACAACAGCGCTTTGGGTTGAAAGGTTTGCGCGCTGTGGGATGTGGGGGGGTGCCGAGACCCTGAACCCTAAACCCTGCAGCTCAGGCGTTTGGGCTGAGAGACTTGAGCTTCATTTTGTTGGGTCTTTGGGGCTGATTGAATAGCTACAGCCTTACCTTTGGTTAGTAGGGAATGAAGGAATGATAGTAATATATAGTATAATAGTACCCATTCCTTCATTCCCTACTAACCAAGGGTAAGCAGCAGGGGTGCTCAGGAAGTCGGTCTGCTTCTTGGGGGCTTCAAGGGCCTCCGCCGTCTGGGAAAAGGCTCCACTGTTTTGCTTTCGGTTTAGGGTTTAGGGTTTAGGGTTTAGGGTTTAGGGGTTTGGGGTTTAGGGTTTAGGGTTTAGGGTTTCTGCAATTTATTCGTGAGCCACTTTAGAAACATAGAGTGCGGCGAAGTCTTCGTGGTGACGGGAAGCATACGATCTGGTCTCCGCCAATTCTGACGCCCGCTCCTGCTCGAAAGTCTCCTAAGCGACCGCCACTGGAGCTCGGTCCACTCAAGATCGGCAATCAAGTGGAAGAGAGCGCCGTTCGAGAGCGTTCTTCCTCGTAAAGGTCCAATGTCACGAGAGATGTGCATAAACCCCCGGCATTACTTGGAGCATCGGGGAAATGTGTAAGCCGATACGGATAGTACTGCTTAGAGGCTTAGAGGCTAAAAGCCCAATCAAAAGGGTTCTAAGACCTAGCCTACTTGCGAAGCCTTCTGTGGCTAATCACACGCAAACCTGTCCGTCACATCCCACAGGCTACAAAACTCCTAAACAACAATGTTACATCGATATATAATACTCATACTGAAGATACCACGAAAACCTGCGGAGTGTTGCTTATGTCAGGAGTGTTCGGTGTCTGTTCGGCTCAAGATAAAGAGTCCGCTGCCGAAGGGCCCATGTATCATCTAGTATATACTTGTGCCCAAAGGAACGACCTATATGGGGACTACATTAATTAAGGCCATAAAGGCAAAAGCATGCTGAACAAACGAATGCTCCCATGAATACCCTTCGGGGTTTAGATCCACAGAATAGTGGTTTAGGGAGGAGCCGTATGATGGGTGAAGGTCCATATAAGCCCTAAACCCAAAACGCCATTGGTCAAGCAAGGCCTGACAAGGCGGGATGGTGCGGATTAGGATTTCCCTGGTCTTTTGTTAAGGGCTCTTTTCCAGCTGGTTCATTGCAGGGATGAGGGTTCAAGTGTTTCGGGTTGAAGGGTCCTATATGCCAGAGCCTAAACCGTTGAAGGCCTCCCGCAGCTGATGTCGAAGCATTCGATAGACCTGCAAAGTCGATACAAGGGAATATTACGGTTTCGGAAGGTTGTTGCACTCTAGGGCTCCTTATTATCACTTTACGGGACCCTGAGCAGTAAGGTGACTACTTGGAGGATCATGGGACTTAGTAAGTAAGGTTATAAGTACCTTACTTGGGGTTATAAGTAGTCATAAATATAGTTACCCTAGTTATAACCCTAGTTACTAAGTCCCATGATCCTTTAAGTAATTGTTTCGACCCCCTTTTTTACACCAGTGACCAAGGATGGCCACGGGATGGTCGGGATTCAGCGGCGGAGGTAACCTGCCTTTTGAAGGACTTGTGTTACGAAATTGGAACTCATAAAGAGGGACCTTTAACCATAAACTCTTCACAGAATGTGGTTCTGTAGGGTTCAGGAGGTCGGCTGAGGCTTTAGATTTTAGATTTAGGGTAATGAGAAGGTTTGGCACCTACCAGCAACAGGATTGAAGTGTTAATTCAGCCGATGGTGTTGCAATAAAGACATTGAACTTAACATATTGTTAAACGGAGATGGATGTCATAAGTGCGCCGCAACCTTGGGGAAACATGCTGCACCTATGGCGACGATCACGGCCCGTGTATCTGCGGTGCTGATTGCGTTTATTGTGTGTGGTCTGCTTGACGCATTCGGCTGAAAGCTCTCGTGGCTCAGAGTCACTGAAAATCAGAATTTGCGACAACACTGTACCCGCGGACTTTGCAGCACAATGCTTAACGCCCATCGTGTAAGGCTTGCTTAAATGCTCAGAGACGCATGTCCATGGGAGTGTCAAGGAACATGTGGACTTTCGAATTCGGGCCGGAACACCTTAAGTTCTGCAGCACTTGGGCGATGCAGTCGCTCAACATGCTTGAACCTTCAATTTTCGGTGGTAATCGACTAAATCTCCTTCGACACATGTCGCTTCCAACCGAAAGTTCTCCAGTCCAACAATAAATGTACGGGCGCGTGATAAGTTCGTTGACACCAGTATAAAGCGGCTCAATATTTGTGCCTTATGCTTTCTGCTCAAGTTTCAGGTCCCAAGGTGCAACCACTAGTTCAAAGGGCAGCGAACTTTGCGGCCGTCGCCAGCCCACAACTTCCACAACCCGACACCAAACTACTTGAAGATCAAGCTGGCAACGACCAAGCCTGAAGGCTTATGGTGCTGTGGCCTGGTAGGATACAAGAAACATTTCCAAATGCAGAAAGCTGACACAACTTCCCTGGGCGCTGACGCTGCGTGAGAAGGCTTCATGAAGACAAGATGAACAGAATCATGAAGCGGCTCAATCCGACTGGAACCGGTTGCGGATCGTGTAGTCGCGGCAGTTGTTCTTCGATAGGTTTACATCATGAGGGCCGCCCACACAGGTACAATAGCCCCAACAGCCATATGGGTGGTTGTCAAAATTAGGATCCTTTTTTGGGTACCTATTATAATACGGCACCGAATATTTATGGTACCCAAAACGGGGCCTTAATTTTGACAACTACCCAAACCCTAAACCCTAAACCCTAAACCCTTATGGATCTCGGGGTTCCGTTTTAGAGGGTTCAGGATTAGGGTTCGAAGGCTTCCTCAGAACTACAGGCTCCTGCATCACGGGTAGTATCTCATACTATGGGGGCCTTCGTAATTAGAATAATAGGGTATGGTGGTAGATTAGTATAAAGGCACCCCCGCGGTAGTATTGGCAATCTTTTAGGCCCCCATATGAAACAAAGGTCATCAACTGAGGAATCTTGTTTTTTGGAGACCTCTGGGTGCCCAAAGATTGGTTTCTAGCCGCCTTCTGCAACTCGAACCCTACTTGGAGGTTCATGGGTGGTTATAGGGGTTCCTCAAAGGGACCCTTTAAAGGGATCTATAGGGATTCTAGAAGGGTATAGGGTTTACTTGGAGTCTCATGGGTCGTTGTAAGTGGTGTTATAAGTAAGGTAACTATAACTATAACCCATATTAGGGAACTTATAACTCCACTTATAACTACCCATGAACCTCCAAGTAGACCCTATACCCTTATAGAATCCCTATAGGTCCCTTTAAAGGGTCCCTTTGAGGAACCCCTATAACTACCCATGAACCTCCAAGTACACTGAAGCGCTAAACCTGGATCCCAGATTCCCAAACCCTAAACCCTAAACCCTAAACCCCTAAACCCTAAACCCCTAAACCCTAAACCCGGAACCCTCGGCTAGTCTGAAGCCGCAAACCCTAGAACTCGGATCGCGGCTCCACAGTACAAGGGTTTAGGGTTTAGGGTTTAGGGGTTTAGGGTTTAGGGTTAAAGCCGACGCAAAATCAAGGGAGTAAGGCTAACAGCGAGCACTCGGCCAGCTAGCAAAGGTTTCGGATTTAAGCCTTCTTGCTTTTCAGGTCTTTTCGGCTACAGGTAGGGTCTATTGAGTTCAGGGTTTCGAGGCTTCGGCCTTTAATGAAGATTTGTCGGTTTAAGGTTTGAGGCTTTCAGGATTCAGTTCACGGCCGTATCTCCCCAGACCGAAAGCCTAAAACCGTTCTAGCTGGCACTGCTAAAACCCTAAACCCATAAACTCTGAACCCTAAAACCCTTAACCCTACTACGGGTTCACTGATACTGGCTTTGGTGCCTCTGGGTCCTAGAGTTCTGGGGCTTGGAGTCTTCAGGTTTAAGCCCTCGTGATTTAGAAAGCCCGATGCATGCAAACATCTTTAATACATCCAACTAACCCCCGCGGATCAAAACAGCCCAAAAGCCTTATATATTGTGGTCTTTGGGCCCAAAAGTCTCAACATATGAGCCCTTGGAGCCCGGGTAAAACCCCTATAAAACACAGAAGGGAACCCTTATAAGATGCCTGCCAACCCCAAGAGGTTCCAGAGTTGGAAACTTTGAGAAAAGATGACCCTGCCTGATATAGGGGCCTTAGTAGCTAGAATAGGGTTTGGGGCCAGCTATACTATAATCATGATAAGGAACCACCAGAATAGTGCAGGTAATTATTTATTAAGCCGTAGAGTACGCCATGGAGTGACAGGATGGGATGCCATTTTGGGTGATCTAGCCACTACCAAGAGGGTCCATGTATACTCCCATTATGGAGTTAGGGCCCCAAACCAGAAGTGGTCCTTTGGGACCCAATTCCATAATGGTAGTGTATATGGACCCCCTGGGTAGCCGCTATCGCTTTTACATCCTCTGAGTGGTCTAGCAGTCTAGCAGGATCTCTGCTAATGTTCGAAACCCGGGTTCATTTCACCATGAAAAATCCGAAGTAGACCGTGAGCCCAAAACTTTTTCCTTAAGGCCCGAAGCCCAAACTGTAAGATATTATCTCGTTGCTCTTAATCCTGAACGCAAAACCCTAAATGCATGAAAACCTTATAAGCCAATATCAACGTAGAACACCGACAAAAATCTGCCAAAGCCCTCACCAGAATCTCATAAGCACAAACATGACCCGCAACCAAAATCCTAAATCCTAGACTCACAAGACACCTCTGCAGAAGCCAAACGACTTAGTAAGTGAGGTTATATGTCCCATAGTTGGGGTTAAAAGTAGATATTAGTACAGCTGCCTTAATTTATGAGCCCAGTTACTAAGTCCCAGGACCCTTTAAGTAAACTCTTATCTTCCGACTTTACTGAGGGGATCCAACGATTTCGGAAGCTACCAAGCGTTCGAATAAGAGGCTGTCAACGGGTGTGTTAAGAGGGGTCCGCAAGGGTGTTATGGCGGTCTTTGCCGCGTCGACACGGGTTCAAGTCCAGATCAAGGGACCTAGTAATTGGGCAACAAGTAGACCTGTCAAAAGGGATTCTGACGGGGTTCTGATAGGGTTGAGGGAGGGGTTAAGGTCACATTGGGTAGGTCTTCGGATGGGATGAACATGGCGGCCGTGATGATGATGACAGAGCTCCTACAGGGATACGATTACTCATCACTCAGACCTCTATACTAGGCTCCGGGATCCATAGTCGAGTTTAGACTAAAACCCAAACCATATAAGCCCTACAAGCCCTAAACCTATGATGATGGGGGGCCAAAAGGGGGGTCTAAGATTCTTGGGGTAGGGATTCCTTTAGCCCTATTATGGGAACCCTAATCCCTGCTAAAACCCCTTTTTGGCCTCCTATGATATGTAGGGGCCTCAAACTTTTCAGAAGCCCCGACTTGCCTGCCGCGGCAGCACGACGCTATCTTCAAGGATGACCTGCACGCCCCATAAACCCTAAACCGTTATAGCAACCCCAAAACCTGAACCCTGCATTGAACTCTAAACCCTACATTAAACTCTAAACCCGCTAGCTGTGAGGATCTGCGTTGTTTCTACAAAAACGGTCATGGCACTTGATTCGTATGCCTTTAAACCTAAAGCCCTAAAGTTTAAAAAAGGCTCCAAACCCTTCCTAGTCGGTATACCTTTACACCCCAAAACCCCAACCAATCAGGCTCGAACTAACGTAGTTCCAACCTTTGGGCCTCTACTGTAGGTAATTCTGTAGGCCCCTATAGTAGTGCCTCCGAATGGCTTCAAGTTTGGGAAGCCGTGGGGGAGGACTGTGCAACAAGAGTTTTCCTCCCGCTACTGAACCTCCCTGCCCCCCCCCCCAACCACGGTCCCAAATTGCGAATATCCCTGTGATGATACCGAATGCTCAACCCTAAACCGGGGCTTGGTTCCATGATGGTGATACCATTCCTGAAGCCCGAAACTCGAAACTCTCCGGCCCGACACCCCCCAAAACCCCGAAACCCCGAAACACCCTAAACCCCGGTACGAATACACCCTGAAGCCCCCAAAAAACGCCAAGGCCCTAAGGGCCTATGGACCCTAAACTCCTGAACCCTCAGGCCCTCAACTTCGGTTTAGGGTTTAGGGCCCTAAACCCAACCCAAACCTCCAAGTTCATCCCGGAACTTCACCCACAGCTCCGCCTTCTGCTGCTTTTGCGATTTCGGGCTCAGGGGCTTCGTTGGAGGATCATGGGCCATAGTAAGTATGGTTATAGGTACCTTAATTGGGTGATTAGGCTTCAGGGTTTGGGCTCTAGGCCTTATAAGAGGCCTTAGGGTTTAAACCTTAGGGTTTAGGCCTTGGGGTTTGGGCCCTAAGGTTAAGCCTTAGGGTCAGGCCTTAGGCCTTAAAGGGAACTCCAGAAAGTTGGAATATGGTTTCAGGGTAGGATACCCTATAATTTACCATACAGGGTTTAGGATAATCATATTCCAACTTTCTGGCTTTTACTGTAGAATTTAGGCCTGAGGGTTTGGGCCTCTGGGTTTAGACCTAAAGTTTTGGCCTTCGAGCTTCGGCCATAAGGTTTCAGTCTTAGAGTAGTTTAGTCTCTGGGCCGTAGGGTTTCGGCGTTCGGGCTTAGACCTTAGGATTTAGGCCTTAGGGTTTCAGCCTTAGGGCTTGAATCTTAAGGTTTGGGCCTTAGGGTTTAGGCTTGAAGGTTTAGGCTTTAGTTTTTCGGTGTAAGATTTAGGATTCACGTGCTACGGTTTGAAAGAAGTAAAATGTTTTCTTAATGTTGTGGGAATCTGTGGGGGGGATGATGTCCGATACCAAAGTAGCGAGCTGGACTGGACACTGCTCGAACTGGGGCTGCGGAACCCTAAACCCTAAAGCCTAAACCCAACACCCCAAACCCTAAATCCCAAGCCCCTGCGAAATCCCCACACGACGGCTTTTCACCGAGTGACCAGGGCCGTCATGGGTTCGCTTCCGCTTCGCGGTGTGCTCCCAAAGGGACAATCCCTAGACCCGAATCCCTAAACCTTAAACCCTAATTATCAACCTTAAAGATTAAACCCTATACGGTTTAGGGTTTAGGGTTTAGGATTTAGGGTTTGGGGCCCCGTTTTCCCTACAACAGTAACTGCGTCTGGAAAATGCCTTGCAGGCTGGGCCAGGCAACAGCGCCGCAAGCCACTTACGGGCTCGCTGCAAGCCGCTTACGGGCTCGCCTTCTGGCGGGTTGCCGTCTTTGATTAGAAAAGTTTCCAGCTACGGTTACGGTACAAATTAAGGTTTAAGGATCAAGGTTTATGGGGTTAAAAGTTTAAGGCTTAAACCTTAATAAGCTCTATAAACCTTAAACCGTGAACCTTAATTTTAAACCCCTAAAGAACCATAATTCCTATAAGCCGTGGTCCCGAAACCTTACTCCCTTAAGCTAACCTCTGACCCGACTGTTGATGATATAAATCCTGCATTACCTTAAGGGCTCTAAACTATGGGAATTATGGTATATGCCTTATTATGGGTAATGCAGGATTTATATCATCAACCGAGTGATCCTGAAACCCCTAGACTGGATGAGTCACCTAGGGCTTTGGAGCGAGGAAGGCTTTGTGGACAAGGCCCAGGCACCAAAAGAGAATGGCATGAAGCCTTGGCTGACTTCTAACCCCTGTTTGAGGGTTTGGGGTTTATAGGGTGCGAGGGTTTATGGGATGTGATAGAGAACCCAAATATTCAAAGACCCACAGAAAGAAAACAGCCAAGGAGCAATGTACCGAGAATGGACACTCCTGCAAGTCCCGGCCGAGGAAGCTGGAGACCATATGCGAACGTCCAAACTAACCTGCGTTGTAGTGTTGGGGCGCTTAAGACTACATTTATGAATACATACTTTTATAGGAACCACAAGAGGGAGATTATAAAGGCTTCCCAAAGTGCCACCTAACAACCAGAGGGAGACCAAATGAGAGAGAACGATCAATGCCACCAGCGAGTTCCTGGGGTGTACTGAAAGCTAAGGGCTCCCAAAAGTATTTCTGAAAGGATACCTCAAAAGGACCATGATAAGGGGAAAAAACTAAGTGTCTCAAAGCTCCGCCTAGGTTCTTCATGACCTCGAGACACCAACTACCTGGCCTCGCCCGTGCGTGCTTGCATACGAGCACGAGCCAACCCTTCAACGATGGCATGGCCACAAGCCAGAGTGCGAATCCACCCGCGATTGTAGCCAGGAGATTGGACCAGAATTGTCCTTCTTCCCGTGCAACAGTGACGGCATAGTCCATGACACCCCACATGATTGGAGTATATGCTGCGATCATGGCCCTTGTGGTGAAAACTTCCTCAAGGTCCTGCGTCAAAACCTCCAGAACTTCCGATCTCACAGTGCTCTCAAACGATTCCAAGCTACCGAACCACGTCAACATACATCGCTTCAAAATGGGCCTGTCACACGGGAGGCCGTCGGCATGTCCTCTGGTGCAACAAGCACAAAGAGCGGAATCAAAGGACATGGAGAGCAGTTGCCGCCTCATGGTGTCCAAGTCTCGGAAATAGCGTCGCAAGATGCCCGCAAGCACATAGCCCAACAAGAAGAGAGCAAGCGAGGTAAGGAAAGGGGTGTTGAGGAAATAATCCTCTGGAAGGAAAACGGAGGGTCGCACTGCAGGCGCCACTCTGAAAACAAGCGAACCCGCGGTGGCAGTCAAGAAGGCTCCAATTTGGAGCGGACCTGGACGAGTCGGTAGGGATAAGCGGGTTTGGGGGTTTAGAGGTTTATGGTTTAGGGGTTCAGGGTTTAGGGATTGAAAGGTTCAGGGGTTTAAGCCCCACCATCGGACCTAGAAGAGTTGGCGTGATGGTCAGCTTCCGCTGATCAGCTCCACGCTCCCTGCTTTTCAAGAATGCCGCAAGCTCGAACAAGCACCACAATCTCTCCTTGCTTGTAAACTCCTCCTAACCCAGAGGGTCCATATACACTACCATTATGGAATTAGGTCCCCAAAACCATCATAGGGATGGTCTTTTGGGACCTAATTCCATAATGGTAGTGTCTATGGACCCTCTGCTATACTGAACTTAGAACCCTGGCAAAAATTATAATTTTAGCTGTTTCTTGGGGATTATAATAACCAAAAATCAAGAATTATTTCTAAGTACCCCTAAGGTGTCTATGGACCCTCTGGGTAAGACTTATAGACTTCCATGTTTATCTGGGCTGCCCAGTAACCTAGGAATAAAACAAGGCTCCCTTTTTTGTATGGGGTAACTTTATATAAGGAACCTAGGAGTACAAAAAGGGAATAAGGGTAGTACTGGGCATCATAGTCGAGGATACCCAGTAACCTAAGAATAAAAAGGCCTCTCTTTTTGGTATTGGGGTAACTTTATAAGGAACCTAGGACTACAAAAAGGGAATAAGGGTAGTACTGGGCGTCATAGTTTATGGGTTGTAAACCATACAACAACCAACATGATTAAAGGCCTAAAGCCAACTACAGAATGATTGGGATTGTTAAGAAATTTACTGTATGTTACCATAATGTGGAAACAAGTGTACTTACCAGAGATTCCAATAATTGCAACTTATAAAATTTAGATTCCTTAACAGCCTTAACAACAACGGAGATGATCAAGTTTCAGTCCACGTTGGATCCCAAAGAATGAGCATCGACTCTGACCGTCGAAGCAGCCCAGCCAGACTAATGATACCTTAGTTGCTGAGTTGATTCAAATTTCAGCTCTATAGTCGACTGTTCTCCCCAAAAGTGTCAAGGCGCATCATACCAATCCTGAAAGTGTTCACAAAGGAGAACTAGTCTGAAATCCCGCTTGTGAGGGTCCCTGTCAAGCGTATCCATTCAGCTATCGAGGTACCGGCGGCCTTCAAGTCGTCGTTGCTTTGGCTGATGCAGGTACTGTCGAGGAAAACACGCGTTTGAGGCCGCCAAAAGATCATCAGGAGCGCGGTGACCAGAAATCCAGACCATGAGGACCAGGCCGACCAGTCTGTTTCGCGCATGTCGTGCCGGTCGTAGCCAGGTAAATCCAGGACCAGGGATAAGACCATCATCACAACGGCAATGAACATGCCTAACCCGATGGCTGCTCGACCATTGTAGATGGTGATGAGTGTCAAAATTTTCTTCCAACGCTGCCCGTGCCAAGAATGGCTCCAAAAGGCTGCTATCGTGTCGCTCGGCTGACTCATTGCAAGGAGGTCAACACCATATGCGCCACGCAAAGCTAGAAAGCAGTGCTGGAAGGCCTTAACCTTAGCCGCGCCGTTAGAACCAGAATACAGATGCTATTCTTATTAACCCCCTGGAGACATATTCCAAGAAACATATAAAACATAATGTCTAAGAGCTGTAAAGTAACAGCCGGCATCACTCTCAGCACCTCCGGGCTTGCGATGTCCATTTGTGCAATGAACCGGGCACATGCTGTCTCTTCTGATGCTGCCATGCCCACTTCGATTTCACCTTCGTACTCCTGCGAAGTGCTGCCAACGACCCTCGGAACCGGATCGTTGAGTCCTTGCTCGTCAGCCGCAGTCATGATTTGCAGACACCACTGGACCAGTTTTGTAAAAATAATGGAAACAGCAAACTCGATACGCTTTACTTGTCATGCTGCCTAGCTTGGGCACATATACCTGCCTAGTGCTAGTTGCCTGCATGTCCTTCGTTGGTACACAACTTGCTCAGATCGCGTCCAGACAACATGACTCGATTTCTAAATCCTGACAAAAGCCGCAAAACGTGGCGCATACAGCCACCCTCCTTCTTTCTTGCATAGTGATGTTGGGCTTAGGGGTTTAGGTTTAGGGCTACGTGGTGGGTTGGGGCTTTTTATCATGCACCGTGGCTTGGACTGGGCAACGGGCTTAGTGGGCTGTCATCCGCTTTTCGTTTTTTGCAGACGATTAAACTAATTTAGGCACATTGACTGAGTTATCACGTAGACTGTGTAGCCGTTATGTTAAACGCTTCAATGCTCGTCAACCATGCCCTGATGCCGATTGAAACAACACCCAACACCACAAAAAAAACAACGCAATGCGCAGCGCAACACACTATACCACAACATATCCTAAGGGGCACGTGCCCATGTAGCACGCTTGAGCCCTAAAATACCAAACCAGAACTACAGTAAGGCCGAAGTATATACTATATGAGTTATCTAGGTGCCTTAGGATTTAGAATTGGGTTCTTGGGGCCCCTTTATAGTATACTTGTAATGAGGAGCACCCAAAATATTAATATATGTGATTATTTAGGCTCCGAAATGACATGGGCCCTTAAGGATACAGTTGATGATACAAATCCTGCACTACCCATAATAAGGAATGTACCATAATTCCCATAGTTTAGGGTCCTTAAGGTAATGCAGGACTGATATCATCAACCGTACCACACTCAACAACCCTGCCTCGACGGATTCAACTTCAGTCTTCAGCCGCTGGCACAGCTCGGCATCCTCCAACGAGGGGGGGGGGGGGGGGGGGGGTTAGGGTGTAGTGGTTTAGGGTTTAGGGTTTAGGGGATGTAGGGCGTAGGGTTTAAGGTTCCTTCAGAGGGATTCAAAAAGGGTTCCAAAATAAGGATCTCCAGAGGTTTAGGGGTTAAAGGGAACTCCAGAAAGTTGGAATATGGTTTCAGGGTAGGATACCCTAAAATTTACCATAGAAGGGTTAGGATAATCATATTCCAACTTTCTGGCTTTCACCTTAGGGGTTAGGATTCAGAGTTCAGTGTGTAGCCTGAAGCTTAGGATTCAGAGCCGAGGGGCTTAGGGTTCACCTGGACCGTGCGAGACCTACCTTTTAAGGGTTTTAGGGTTTATATAGGGTTTAGGGTTTTAGGGTTTTAGGGTTCAGGGTTTAGGGTTGGCTCCTTTTCTTGTTGCTGTTGCAAGCGGTTTTCAGAAGGGTACATGCGGGGTTTGAAAAATTGGGTTCGGGGTGTCAGGGTTTCAGGGTTTTGAGTAGAGCTTGGGTTTAGAGTTTAGAGCTTAAGGGAATCGGTTCGCGGCTGGGGGCCGCTGTCACTGCCATGCTTGGGGCTTTGTATCTTTAAATTTGTATTGAAGTTCTAGAGAAGCTTCAGCGCCACACAGACTTCGCCATTAACTCAATATAGGAGTTTCAGAAGAGAGGGGACCCTAATATAGTACCCTAAATAGTAGGACCCTTATTATAAGGACCCCAAGTAAGGTACCCCCTGTTTTTCGGAAACTCCCATATAGGAGTTTCAGAACCCTGAGGCGACGTACAGCGTGAGCAGCAGGGTCCTGATCCTGAAGACCTCTACCTAGACCCCCAAAAGTAGGTAAAATAATGGCCCACATCCTATAAAGGGCCATTATTCTACATACTTTTGGGGTCAAGGTAAAGACCGTCTGTACTTGCGCTCTCTGGTAAACCCAGATGAGACCTTGCGACACCGTTGCCAGACCACCCTAGCACCCCACAGTACTGCCATTCACAAGTGGGAGTTTCCTAAAATAGGGGACCCTGATATCGTACCCCAAATAGTAGGATCCTTATTATAGGGACCCCTACATAAGGTACCCCCCATTTTCGGAAACTCGCAAGTCTGAGAATACCTTACAAACAGAAAACCCCGAACCGGGCCCTCCTAACCCTCACCCTGACAAAAACAGTCCTCACTTAGAGGATCATGGGACTTAGTAAGTATGGTTATAAGTAGGTTATAATTAGCATTACCCCACTTAGGGGACTTATAACCCCAATTATAACCTACTTACTAAGTCCCATGATCCTCTAAGCATAAAGCATCACCACTGACGAGTTCTCGTGCTGAGAATGGATCAAGCCAGAAGTCCCTCCATCTAAACACCTACAAGTACCAGGGCCCCAAGAGTACGGTCTCTTAGGGTTTACTGGTCTAGGGCTTAACTGGCCCCCAGGAGTATGTAGAACAATATCATGTAAGGGTGCTGGGCCATTATAAAGCCTACCTCGACCCTGAATGACTCAACAAATGTGACAGTCAAAGAGCTGGTCACGAGGCCTTGTCACCCGAATTACACCTACTTGGAGGATCATGGGACTTAGTAAGTAAGGTTAAAAGTACCTTAATCGGGGTTATAAGTAATTATAAGTCTAGTTACCCTAATTATAACCCTAGTTACTAAGTCCCACGATCCTTTGAACTTTGAGTAAAGCCGTTAAACCTACATATGTGGGGGATCATTGGGCTTAGTAAGTAAGGTTATGAGTACCCTAATTGGGCATGTAAGTGATTAATTAAAAATACGGGTACAGTTACCTTACTTACAACCCTGCATCCTTCACGCAATCTAGTCTACAATAACCCGCACCCAAAACCCAAAACTCTAACCCCCCCCTAACCCCCACCCAAAAACTCTGAACCATTCAGGCCTCTAGTCTCCTCTGCCCCAAAATCTGCATAATCCGAGCTAACACAACAAAAAAACACACACACACACACAACAACCTGAACCCCAATCCTAAACCCTAAAAACCACAAACAAAAAACCCTGACAAACTCAAAAGCCCGAGATCACCAGCAACCCTAGAAACCCCCACAACCCTAAACGCCCCACCAAAAAACCGAACAATCCTAAACCCGAGAGCCGCGGTCCTCCGACCCTGGAACCCGCCGACCATGGGACATACGGTTGATGGTACAAATCCTGCAATACCCATAATTAGGAATATACCATAATTCCCATAGTTTAGGGTCCTTAAGGTAACGCAGGATTTATATCATCAACCATAGCAAGTAAGGCTCCTTACTGTAAAGGGTTCCCTAGGTTCCTTCCCTGTTTAAAATTAGAATAAGGCTTTGGGGTATATGATGCTACCTATAGTCCCCATTGTAGTTTAGGGTTTAGGGTTTAGGGTTTATGGTTTAGGGTTTAGGGTTTAGGGTTTAGGGTTTAGGGTTTTTTGGTTGACCAAATGGTTAACCCCAAAAAAAGGAACTACAATGGAGACTACAGGTAGCAAGTAAGGCTCCTTACCGTGAAGGGCTCCTTCAAGGCATCTACAAGAACTTAGAGTTCTCAGGACCGACTAGGACTCCAAAATGGCTACGCTTTGGGTTTTTGTTTTTTGGCTTGGGGTTTACAAAGGGTTTTCCAGAGGGTTTCTTAATGAACCAGTAGGGTCACAAAGTGTACCTTAACTGGGGTTGTAAGTAATCATGGTATAATTTCTTTACGGCCCTTCTTACTAGGTCGCGTGATCCTTTAGCTAGACTCCTGGCTGGACTTTTGGGGACGACAATAATGCAGACCTCCTGCATGAAAAGAGACTGTAATCGCAATCCCAATACCCCTAAACCGGTCCTTCAAGAAAGGCTGTATTTGTAGATTTATGGTATTGATGTACCTTAAGAAGTCATTTTATGAAACTCATTTTTTTGCAGGGAATCAAAAGTGGGGATGAAAGTAGGTAGGATTTAGGATCCCTCATATATAAGGACTCCTATTTGTGACTACCCTACCTACCTTCCGTAAACCCTAAAACCCAAAACCCAAAACTTTTAAACCTTCATCCCTCCCTTTGTAGCCCTTTGAGGTTTGACTCTGAGCATGCGCCGGCGCCTTGCGCAGTCGCAGGCGCATGTTGTGTGCAGCTGCCGGCAGCATCAAGTCATGGTGGTTCCTCGATCTCCCTAGGGATCCCATGTGCCTATGTGAGGGCTGCCATAACAGTTCTATAAGCGCTCTGTAGGGCTGTAGGGTTTCGGGGTTGGGGCTCCATGTAGCTATATGGCATATATACTTAGACCTGACAGCAGCTATCTGTACATTTACATATATATATATATATACATATACATATACATATATAAAAAAATAGAGGAGCCCCTTTCTATACGACCTATAAAGCCATGTAGAACCACATGGAGCCTTAGGTTCGGCGTTGGTAAGACTTGGAGGGGGGGGTAAAGACATTCAATAAAGACCAAGGGTTTCTGAATCAGGCTCTTAGAGTAAACGGCAAACAGAATCAGGGCACGTTGTAATGACTATCGGTCTAGAGCATCCAGAATGAGGGTCACTGCTTCGAGTGTGCTGAACCACGGTAAACGGGCCTAAACCCTACCTCTAGTCTCCATTGTAGTCCCCTTTTTGGTTAACCAAAATCTCTATTATAGGATCCTAACCATAAAACTGGTTAACAAAAAAAAGGAACTACAATGGAGACTCTAGGTAAACCCTAATTAAAGACTCAGGGTTGAGGGTTTAGGGTTATGGACTCAGAGCAGGGTTCCGGGCTATGATATTACTACCGGGGCCTCCAACCTAAAGTTTGAAGCCCTGTGGGGAATGGGATCGAAAACTGTAAACCCCAAACTCAAAACTCTACTTGACCTAGACCTAGACCCTCAACCGTACACCCTAAACCAAACCCCTTGAACCCAAGCCAGCATGCTCTAGCAGGCCGGGTTGGGGTGACGGGATACCAAGTCGCGTGCGCTCATACGGGGCTTATTATGTGGGGTTTAGGGTAAGGGTTTAGGCTTAGGGCTTAGAGTTTGGGGTTTTGGCCCAGGGTTTAGGGTTAGAGAGTTAAGGTTTTGGGGTTCAGGGTTAGGGCTTAGGGGTTGGGATTCAGAGGACCCCACGAAGGACCCTGCCGTACAGAAGATGGGACCACCGCGGTCCCCGACAAAGTTGTAAAAACCGGAGCCACGACTGCGCGAAGCAGGATTGAAGCCTACTCGGCCCAACTTGATCCCGAGCTGCGCAATGCTCTGTGGCAGGGCCAAACTGGCAGAAATCGCCCGCGATGGGGTTCTTGAGCAGGTTCGCTGTAGAGGGCTTTTGGGTTTTGGGCCACCCCATTTTCTGGACGGCCCCCAGGCTCGCCAGCCTGCGCGAGCTTCACAAAAGGCGATGGGTTACGCATGGCCCCATCTTAACCTTATAAGCGTCGGGTACCTCCTCCACTCGCTGGACCGCCGGGCCGCAGCCCAGAGCCTCGCCCCCGCAAGCGAGGTTCCTCGGCCCTGGAATCACCCAGAGCCTCCAAAACCCCTTAACGAAGGAATATACCTTAAATTTTCATTAGGAGCCTTAATATAATTTAAGGTATATTGCTTAATTAAGGGGTTTTGGAGGCTCTGGGATCAAGCAACCTGATGCGCTCCGCAGAGTGCCTCGTGCTCAGAAGCAGGAGGAGTCGAAGAGGCCGTGGGATAACAAGACACCTAAACCCTAAACCCTAAACCCCTAAACCCTAAACCCCACACCCCTAAACCCTAAACCCTGGATGTTGACGACTTCGCGCCAGCACCGAGAAACATAAATCTTAACGCCCTTAGCCGCGCGAATCTCCAATGCATCAAACACATGCTGAGCAGTCGGGAAGAATAATAACCGGACCTTGAAGCAACCAGGGAGAAAAAGTCTATTCTATTTCATAATGGTTCCTTCATGGAACAAGTCCAAAAAGAATTCAAGCATGGTACTGGATTTGGGAGTATGTATACGACGTGTTATGGAAGAACTCATATTGGGACCATAAGGGTACACTATCACGAATTATTCCGACCCTGACAGAAGCCAGTCTCTCAGACACATTCCACCCGATACAAATCTCGTTCTTCATAAACCCTAAGCCCCTAAACCGCTGAACCCTAAACCCCAAACCGTACACCCCTAAGCCCTAAGTCCTAAACCCCCAAACCCCTAAACCCTAAACCCCTAAACCCCTAAACCCTAAACCCCTAACCCCTAACCCCTAAACCCCTAAACCCCGAAACCCCTAACCCCTAAACCCCTAAACCCTAAACCCTAAACCGTAAACCTCTAAACCCCTAAACCCCTAAACCCTAAACCCCGAAACCCTAAACCCCTAAACCCCTAAACCTCTAAACCCCTAAACCCCTAAACCCCTAAACCCCTGCAAGTATTCACTTGTCTGCTCTTGTACAAAAGAACCTGACAATCGCAGCTTCGAGTGGCACAAAAGAGAGTTCGGTGCGAGAATCCTTCGGCCCCTTCGGTAGGCCCTCATCCTCTCGCCATACTCGACTGTGACTCGTCTCCATTGGGCATTACACTTCCGTGCAAGCTACCGCTTGCATGGTAGCGGAGCCTTCCCGTTGGCCGGGGAAGGTTCCTAGATCCAGGGCCAATCACAGAACGGCTCCAGCTGCTACGAGGCCGCTGGAGAAATGAGCGGAACAGCTTCCGCGGAAGTGTCAAAGAGCAAGGATGGAGTGCCGCAGTGGAATGGAAGCCAAGCGGGCTTCCAAGAATACTATGAGATGTGTCTCCTATGGGAGGCCACCACGCCTTGGCACAAGAGATACATGAATGGGCCTCGACTGGCTTCGGAACTGCAGGGATCGGCGAAACGTCTCATCCTAGGCAAGGACCCACAGTGGCTGTCGCACAGTACTGGGACCCAAGTGCTCTTGGATCACCTGAGGGCATGCTTGGGGCGTCCGCAGCTCAGCGAGCTGTCGGATTACCTGCAGAGGTACTTCCGCCAGAGCCGTCGCAAGGCGGGAGAGACCATGGGGGAGTATGTCACCAGGAAGTGTGAGACGTATCTACGAGCCAAGCAGGCTTACCATCGAGTGCGCCCACATCACCAAGGCGCCACCGCCGGAGGCGATCGACCTCGCGGCACCGAGAATCCATCCTGGAACCGAGGACGACGAGACAGTTACGGATCCGAGATGTCTTCACAGGCAGCGGCTCCCGTGAGTGAGCCGGGCGCAGGCGACCAAGGAGATGAAGATCAGTCCGAGTCGGGGAATCAGCGAGATTCTGAGGCTTGGAACGCCTGGTCCAATTACCAGGAGTGGAACACCTCCTGGAATGCCGGATGGGGATATCAGTGGAATCCAACGTCGTGGTGGAGTTCAGGTTCGTGGCCTAGCACGCAGTATCCCGCCTCCAATGAGCGATTGGAAGAGCTGCTACCGGACTACATCCAAGGGTGGCTGTTGCTACAAGACGCGGGACTGGATGCTGAGCAGAGGAACTTGATCACCACGGCAGTGAGAGGGGACTACTCCCTGCAGAGGATCGCCCAGGAGTTGAGAAATCAGTGGTCCGAACAGGACCTCCGGCGACGAGACAATTCGACCAAGGGCAGCGGCTTCTGGGGCGAACTACAAGAGGGAGAGTCCGAAGAGGACGACCAGACCGAAGAGTACGATGAGGACAGTTTGATCGCAAGCGGGATGAATGAAGAAGGTCTCTGGGCCTTCCAGGAGGCCAATCACGAGGCCCAAGAGGCTCTGGCGATCCTCCAAGGAGCGCGGAAGACGCTCCGGGAGGCCAGAGCCAAGCAGAAGTTCGTGAAGATGTCCCGACAGTACTACGGCAAGAATTCGACTGGAAAGGGCAAAAGCGCTGGAAAAGGGCGCGATGATAGCAACATGACTTGCTTGGCATGCGGAAAAGTCGGCCACAGAGCCGCCAACTGCCCCGATCCACCGGCTAGCAAGACAACGGCCAAGGGCGAGCACGCCCCCTTCGTGTGCTACAGCGACGAGCCCGTGGTCCAGGAGGATGCGCTTCTGGCAGGGGCTCCCACTACGGAGGAGGCCGTAAGCCGTGGCATGGCCGTGGTAGACGGCGGGGCAACAAAGACTGTTGCTTCGGTACAGGCGGTGGAGTGCTTGATGAAGATGAACCAGAAGGTCAAGGGCTATGATGGAATCGCAAAAGTCGATGTGGACAACCGCCCGGTGTTTGCCTTTGGAAATAGCAGTGCTAACCAGTGCATTTCCACAACACAGATGAACATCGAAGCCGACGGAAAGCCAGGACTGTTGAACATCCACACCATCTCCCAAGGCCATGGTCCGATTTTGTTCTCAGTGGCAACATTGCGAAGTTTGGGAGCCATTGTGGATTTCAGTAGCGATGTAGCTGTGTTTAGGAACATCAATGATCGGAAGCTTGTACAGTTGCAACGATCTGCATCGGGTCATCAGTTGCTGCCTTTGTTTGAAGACTTGCTGAAGAACTCTCAGCCTACCAAACAGGCTGTGCCAGGATTGAAGGACTTCCTCAAAGAAGAGGACGCTGTCTAGGGACAGCACCTCCCGTTTTTGGACCCTGCCGAAAACGTGGAGGACCAGTGTGATTCAGGGAACCGGGTAGACAGTAGCGACGCCCAGGCCACAACCCAGGGGAAAGGGTCTAGTGAGGGTTTGGGTGCTACCGCTAGTAGTAATTTCACATCTCCCGAGTGTCACGAGAACCGTGGAAGACCGCACGCGGGGGACCAGCAGCATTCCTCTCGCGACAAACTTGATTGCCGACCTCTCCTTGCTAGCAGCCCTAGCTCCGATCGACATGGCGCTCTCCAAGTTGACCAAGCTGGAGCTCACGCGCAAGATCCAGGAGTACGGCGAGACGCCGCCGACCAAGTGGAACAAGACCGAGTTGGTGGCTCGTCTCGAGGAGCTCATGAAAATCCGCGGCGAGGACTCGCCGTCCATTCTGAAGCTCCAATCCAAGACGCCCCTGAAGGTGAAGATCACGGAATTGAACAAAGCCCGCAAGAAGCGAAGCGACCTGGCGGACTACTTGGTCACCAACTTGGGCCTCAAGGTGAGTCCCAACGAGACGGTGGATCAGATGGCGACCCGCGGAGTACACGAGATCTATCGCCAAGTGGAAGCCACCAGCCGCGATGTGGTCGGCTTCGGCCGTCACAGCCAGATCACCTACGGCGAGCTGTTGAACAACTACCCGTCGTATGTGGACTGGGTTCGCAAAACAGCGGTGGAAGCAGACGATCCAGACCCTCGCCTCATTCGCTTGGCAGCATGGCTATCCCAGGCCACGGATGTGAAGATGACGGCGACGGAGGCTCCACCCAAGAAGGGCTACCACTTGGACGAACCGGCACCCGAGGCTGCCGCTACGGGGAGCCCACCTGCAGGTGCTGCCACCAGCAGCGGGACCTCGAGCCACGACATGATGATCAAGGAGTTGATGGAGAGCCAGCAGCAGATGATCCAGCAGCTGGTCAAGACCGTGAGCACCTTGCAAGAGGAGGTTCGCGACATGAAGGAGGAGAAGCCGCGCAAGAAGATGAACCCGTGAGAGTCAGTATGAGTGCCCAGCTGAGTAGCCAGCTGGGGGGCCGCACCGAGGTTCAGAGGACTGAAGAGGGTCATAAGCTTAGTCTTGGGAAGGCTAGGAGTTTAGAACGCCAGGCTTGGGATGGAATTCCTCAGGTGTTTGAGGCCTTAAGTCGGGATAGGCGACCCGTGCTGCTGGAGGTGTCCGGTAGTTCATCTAGTCTTCTGTCCTCTGCGGTTCGAGATATAGTGGGAACAGATCAGGCGGCCAGCCAGTGTTCATTATGGAACGCGGGCGACCTGCGCACCAGTGCAGGAGTACGGCTCATCATCGATCGGCTTCATCTTGAAAATCCGCAGAACGTTTGGATGACTCCACCAGCTTCCGCATTCTCACCTTATCAGAACACTAGAGCCCAGAACCCCAAACAACAACAGGCCCTGCAAGAGAAGCGCCAGCAGGACATCCGGGCGTTTGTCGGAGCCAGTTGTGTGTTTCATGAGTGCATGCGCTTGGGGATCCATGCGACGGTTGCGCTTCCAGCCCATTCGCATGCTTGGAGACTTCCGGTGTTTCAGAAATTGAAGGGTCATTTTGGGCTTTATTCGGCGGTGTCTAATGGGTGTAGGCTGAACCTGAGGGATGATAAAGGACGCGTGATTAAGCAAGGGTGGCAAATTCTCACGAGCCACGCAAGGTTATCCCAGAAACTGGAGCTTCCATGTCGATGTGCCCCTCAAACTAAGCATGGACAAGTGCAATCTACAGGCGACACGGTAGGACACACGCCGTACACACGAGAATATGTGAAAGTAGCAGCGGAAGTCCTGTGCCAGGAACTTAGTCACCACGGGCTGTTGGAGGAATGCCAAGGGAAGTCCCAACTGCCGATTTTGTTCGGCCAAGCTACCGAATGCGCCTGTGAGGTGCACAAGTTGCCTGGCTACCAGCCCACATGTGGGAAATGTTTGGGGTCGTCGGAAGGGGACCTTCAGGGCTCTTCGGACGGGGATGCCAAGGGTTTGTCTGAAGAAGGCGATTGGTCCCAGGAACTCGCTAGGACTTGTGAAGATGAGGCTCAAAGGCTCTTGTGTAAAAACCCCGTGACGTACCAGGATATCGAGCAGTTCCTTCCCCGCCTGGACAAGCTTCCCTTGAGCCACCGAAGATTCCTAAGAGGTTCCGAGGCCCGAAGCGTCGTGCTAGGTATGTACTCGTACGGGGCTCAACAAGGCCTGACCAACATGTCCCGCAAACTTCCCGAAACGAGTAGGCTCCTGAACAAGTTCCTCCAACAACACGTGCCACCGGGCACGACGTGGAATGCGTGTGTGATAAATCGAAACGCTCATGCTCCTGTGCACCGAGACCTCCTCAATAGTCCTGAGAGCAAGAACTGGGTTTGCGGGTTTGGGAGCTACGAAGACGGAGAGTTATGGGAAGAAACTCCCAAAGATTATGCCGGTCCGGGCGCCCTGAAGCAGGAGCGCGACGACGGCTCTACGCTTCAGGGAAGAGTGGTGCCGATACGACACCGCGTTCACTCGTTTCCACCGCAGGCCTGGCACGGGACTTGCCCGTGGAAGGGCGACCGAGTGACAGTCACGTGGTACAGTAGTAGGAAGGAAGAGTGTTTGAGCCAGAAAGAGAGAGGAGAGCTGAGAGAGCTAGGGTTCAACATGAAACCGGCGCCCAGGAAGGAGCAAGCACAGGCGGCACAGGACATCCCTCCAGGAACCACTCGCCACGACCACCAGGAGGAAGAAAGGATCAAGCGAAAACTGTATCTCCTCCACTCGGCAACGGGGCACAGCAGCACAAAGCATTTAGTGGAAGCACTGCGTAGGAGGGGAGCGAACGAGAGAGTGTTGCAACTGGCGCGGGAGTTCAAGTGTTCGGTGTGCTTAGAGAAACAAAGAGTTGGCAGTAGGCCAGTGGCGACTCTTGAACCCCTGCCTCCGAAACTGAGCACGGTGTCGGCTGATGTAGGACACTGGACTCACCCCAAAACCAAGGAAGTGTCCCAATTCCTGATGATCATCGATGAGGGTTCTAGGTTCAGGGTGTCCAGGGTGTTGACGAAAGGTTCTAAGCAAACCCCCAATGCCGCCTCGTGCCTGGAGTACTTCCAAGAAGGTTGGGGTCAGTACTTTGGGTTTCCCAGGGTCCTGAGACTTGATCCGGCGGGACCGTTTAGGAGTCATGCTTTGGAGCACTTTTGCGACAAGCAGGGGATTCATTTGGAATTGGTGCCCGGGGAGGCACATCACCAGATAGGAGTGTGTGAGCAGGCGGTTCAAGGGATCAAGGAAGTGATGAGTAAGATTTGTGCTAGGGATCCGGATACCACGACGGAAGAGGCGTTGTCCTTAGGCGTGAGCGTGTTCAATCAAAGGGAGATGATTCGGGGCTTCTCACCCGCGCAGCACATTTTGGGCCAAAGCCCAGACTCCACAGGACGACTCGTGGGCAATGAATTGCCTCCAGACCTCTTGATAGAGAATGCCGCGGGAGAGTTTCAACGAAGTCAGGCTCGCAGGGCGGAAGCCGAGAAGGCACTTGTGGATTGGGTCACACAGCAGCGTGTGGTCAGGGCCCAGAATTCCCGGAGCAAACCTGCTTACGATTACGAACCAGGGGAACTAGTATATTTCTGGCGCGTGCAGAGCAGTGGACAGGGTCGCAGGCAGCCGGGGAGTAAGCATGGTTCCTTCCTAGGCCCTGCTCGGGTCTTGGCGACGGAATCACGGAGAGATGCCTCAGGCAACCTGAGGCCCGGCAGCGCGATCTGGTGTGTCCGAGGCCGGAGCCTCATAAAATGTGCACCGGAACAGCTCAGGAGGGCTTCCCCACGAGAGGAGCTCGTGGAATCCTTGATGGAAGGACGCCAGGCCACTCCGTGGACGTTCACAAGGGTTGCCGAAGAGATCGGAGGCAGCCAATATCAGGACATATCCTCGGAGCGGCCTTCGGAAGCCGAGTGGCGTCGTGCCCAAGACTTGGAGGAGGAAGCTCCCCCCACACGCTATCGAGCGCGTCGGAAGCGTGCCGAGCCAGAGCCAGCAGAGGATATGGAAGATGACCAGGAGGACACCCCATCACAACCCAGCAGACCATTCGCCATGCGGCGAGGAGCCCAAAATCAGGGTTCCCACGTCGGAGATCCCATCGGATCCAAGTGGTGGGAAGAGGTCTCCGAAACTGCGTGGTCGGCCGAGGAGGCCACCTACTGGGCGCAGGACAGCGCCGCCGTGGAGATCAGCATTGACCTTCCAGAGAACGAGAAAGGCTGGCAAGCAGCAACCCGGAACTTGCAGAACTACTTCGTGGGCGCGCTCAAGCGAAAGGCCGTGGAGGTCTCGGAGAAACACTTGAATGAGGCTGAACGAGCCGCCTTCAAGGAGGCCAAGCATATCGAAGTTCGCAACTTTATTGCTTCAGAGGCGTTCGAGACACTCCCGGACAATCTTAAACCATCTCGCGAGCAGGCGATTGGTATGAGATGGATCTTGACGTGGAAGGTTCGCGAAGACGGCTCATCCAAAGCAAAGGCCAGAGCAGTTTTGTTAGGGTATCAAGACCCGGGATATGAACATCGGCAAACTACGGCACCTGTTATGTCTCGACAGACCAGACAACTTTTCTTGCAACTAGCGGCGAATAAACAGTGGGATGTCTTTAAAGGAGATGTATCTGGAGCTTTCTTGCAGGGACGAGAGTACCCAACAAAGCTATTCTGCGTGCCTTGCGATGAGATTTGCGATGCCATGAACATTCCTCGTGGCAGTATTACTCGCCTGAAGAGAGCTTGTTACGGATTGGTGGATGCGCCATTGGAGTGGTACCGTACAGTATCAGAGTTTTTATCTTCCCTCGGGTTAGAAAGACTTTGGTCAGATGCTTGCGCCTGGGTCTGGCGAAAGGAAGGGAAAGTCCGAGGAATGGTGTGTGGCCATGTGGACGACTTCTTGTTTGGAGGCAAGTCCGAGGACACCGAGTGGCAGCAGATCATCTCACAAATCCAACAGCGGTTTAAGTGGGGTGACTGGGATAAGAATAGTTTTACTCAATGTGGTGTGCAAATCACAAAGACGGCCACCGGCTTTGAATTATCTCAGCCGAGCTATCTGGACGGCATGTCAGAGATCTCCTTGAGTGCTTCGCGAAGAAAAGAGAGCTGCGCGGCGACAACAGACAGAGAGAAGAGTAAGTTGAGAGCCTTACTGGGAGGCTTGAGCTGGCACGCCCAGCAAGTGGCACCACACACCGCGGCTGAGGTGTCATTACTGCTGAGCGAGGTGAATCAGAGCACGGTCCAGACCATCACTAAGGCTAATCGGCTGTTCTGGAACACCAAGGCCCGAAAGGACCATCGGATGCTGATACATGCCTTTGCCGAGGACGAACCAGTGGCCCTGTACGCATGGGTCGACGCAGCGACGGACAACCGTCCGGACCAGGGCAGTACACAGGGTATCTTTGTGGGAATGGGCCCAGAGAGTTTGCTTCAGGGAAACCTTGGGGGTATTTCTCCGGTGGCTTGGCATTCCTCTAAGATAGATCGTATTTGCCGGAGTCCCGGCGCAGCTGAGACTCAGGCGGCAGTGAACGGAGAGGACGCTTTGTTCTTTGCAAGGTTCCAGTGGAGTGAGATGCTCTACGGGATCTCGGACTTAAGAGAACATGAAGCTGTGGCTCGACGAGTGACGGGCTGCTTAATCACGGACTCAAGGAACGTCTACGACAAGTTGGCTACAGAGGTTGTGGTGATCAAGGGCAAGGAAAAACGATCAAATATAGAACTCTTGAGTATTAAGCAATCTCAGATGGCTACCAATCTTCATGTACGATGGGTTCATTCCGAAGCACAGCTGGCGAACGCGCTTACAAAAGTGGGCAATGCCAGAGAACTGGAATTATACTACCGTATGTCACACCATTGGAAGATTGTCGAGGACGACTTCATGCGGTCGGCCAGAAAGCGACGCGAGCAAGGAATCCCACCGTTGGAGGGACAATCGGGAGATGTGAAATCATAAAAGGGGTTTCTGCTGGGTTGTCGGGCTGGGGGTCATGCAAGTATTCACTTGTCTGCTCTTGTACAAAAGAACCTGACAATCGCAGCTTCGAGTGGCACAAAAGAGAGTTCGGTGCGAGAATCCTTCGGCCCCTTCGGTAGGCCCTCATCCTCTCGCCATACTCGACTGTGACTCGTCTCCATTGGGCATTACACTTCCGTGCAAGCTACCGCTTGCAACCCCTAACCCCCTAAACCCCTAAACCCCAAACCCCTAAACCCCTAAACCCTAAACCGTAAACCTCTAAACCCCTAAACCTCTAAACCCCCTAAACCCCTAAACCCCTAACCCCCTAAACCCCTAAACCCCAAACCCCTAAACCCCTAAACCCTAAACCGTAAACCTCTAAGCCCCTAAACCTCTAAACCCCTAAACCCCTAAACCCCTAAACCCCTAACCCCCTAAACCCCTAAACCCCAAACCCCTAAACCCCTAAACCCTAAACCCTAAACCAGGATCCTCAAGAGCTACCGATGCTAAATTCCGAGAAAATAATCTGGACCCAAGAGTAACCTAGGAATAAAACAGGGTGCCCCCTTTTTTGGGTTGAAAGGGTGTTATGCAGGGACCTGAACCCAAAACAAAAGGGAGTAAGGGCAAACTCTGTAAGATGTTGCAAGCGCGCAGAAAAAGGGGTTTAGGGTTAAGGGTTCAGGGGTTTGGGTTCAGGGGTCTACCTTCACCCTGAAGAACCTATCTGTTTAGAGCTCCTTATTATGTTGTTTTTATAAGTCCTTAAACAAGTAGGATTTTCAGGGTTCAGGTCGGGCTTGTAGGGGATGTTGCTCCAACTCATAACCCCTATGGCTGAGTTTCCTTAAAACGGCATGGAACCAAATGGGTGGTTGTCAAAAATTATGGCCACTTTTTGGGTACCCTAAATAAAAGGTGCCGTATTACAATAGGGATCCAAAAAGCTACCATAATTTTGACAACCACCCAAATAGAACTCAAACCTTTAAACCCTGAAACCAAGGCATCCGAGTTTCAACATCTGGCTCAGAGCAATGACAAGCGCGAGGCAACTGCCTGGGTTTGGAGTTTCGGGCTCAGGGCTTGTCAAAGTTTCCCAGGCAGTTCCATGAAACTGCCTTGTGTAGTCCCGTACGCTTCTTATACCCACCTACAGCACCCAAACCCAGTAAGCCAATCCATGAATCATCTGTGACACTGCAACGGTGATCCCTCGTACATCAGCCAAATTAGGATAGGGATATCCCATATAGACCCCCTTATAAAGAAACCCAATAAGGTAGGGATATCCCTCTAACATGCTTATGCTTATGTCCGTTTTGGGTCCCTAAGATGAGACCCCGGTGCGAGGCTTCGCGTGGGCTCGGACATGGTGGCCATCCTGGCCTTCCAAAATGGTAATATAGAAGCCTAGGTTCTGATTATGAACCCTAATATGGAGTTTATAGGGATCCTACAAAAAAGAAGGGTTTGGTAGGTTAAGATAAACAATTAACTGTACTACTTTATAATCATAAGGGTCCAAGGACCTGGCGTAGGGCCACTTTATGCGATACATAACTCTAAACGCTAAACCCTAAAGCCCAAAGCCCTAAAACCCTAAACCCGAAATCCTAAACCCCTAACTCCTAAAAACCCCTAAACCCTTAAACCCCTAAACTCCTAAAACCCTAAACCGCTCGCAAGCAAGGCCGCTGCAGAGGAGGAGGAGGAGGAGGAGGAGGCAAAGGCAAAGTCTTCCGAGATTTAGAGGGTTTAGGGGTATAAGGTGTACCTGTAGCCGAAAAGACCTACCTTTTTAGGGTTCCTTATTGTGGTTTCTATATATAGTTCCTGAAAAAGGTATATAGGTCTTTTCGGCTACAGGTAGGGTTTAGGGTTTAGTGTAGGACTTGAGGATGTGAGAACTCAGAACACCACTACCCAGATCACCAGGAACCCCGAACCATGTAAGTACCTTAGCCCGAAACAGCCACTGCGACCCTGAATCGAAAAGCCCAAAGCACCCTAGACACCAACAGCTCCACGAAGCCATAAACTCACCAAGCCAAAATCCTGAACACTTATCGTCAACCCTGACCCAACAAGACAAAGCCCTAACTCTCAAGCACATCCCAGATCCCAGACCTCCACCCACCCTCTACTGTAAAGCTTCTGGGGCAATATCCAAAAACCACAATCATACCTATAGTCTCCATTGTCGTTTCTTGTTTTGGTTAACCAATTTTATGGTTAGGATCCTATAATAGAGATTTGGGTTAACAAAAAAAACTACAATGGAGACTTTACGTAGAGCATCCTGTCTGATCCTGACCAGCCCCTCACTGTCAACTCTGAACCACCTGAGCTCTCGACCAGTGGGCATGCATCTGCGTGCAGCCTGTGTCTGCTTCCATAAAAGCTAAGAACACCTATATCCTTATAAACCTTGTAGACCCTCATAAACCAGTATAAATACAGAGATGAACCCTTAACCCTGAGCCGTACGGTTGAGCTTGGCTTAGGCCTTCTGTTTTGCAGCTAACTCGGGATATATGGTGTCTGATTCAAGCCTAGTTTTTGCTTTTTCCGTTTCAGGGTGTTGTGTCTGTTAGGGGTTTCTGTTTCAGGGCTTGCATATTCGTTACTGTTTCAAGGCCCTTTTTGGGGTTTCGGCTTTCTGTTTCAGAGTTGTGCATTGCCTGATGCACAGGGTACAATGAAAGCTTTGATGGGAGGCCCAAAGGCGGGTTTAAGATTCTTGGGGTAGGGATTCCTTAACATGAACCCTATTATGGGAACCCCAATCCCTACTAAACTCCCAGAGGCCGAAACCCCTTTTGGCCTCCTATGATGCTTGTAGGAGTTTGAGGTGGGTTGCGGATGGAAGAGCTTGCGGCCTACGGCCTATATCCAACACCTGGGTGCTCGACGGATTGACAGACGCATATATATATATATATATATATATCAAGAGAAATAGACATATAGAGATATAGAGATATAGACATATAGAGATATAGGGATATAGAGATATAGAGGTATAGAGATATAGAGATATGTAGATATATAGGTATATAGATGTATAGATATACAGATAGTCTGCAGAGGCCCTCCAGAAAAAGTGGTTTTGGGTAGGTTCTGGTATTCGCACTTGCCCAAGACTGCCCCAGACCGTTGCGTTTCGGCTTTCTCGACTTTGCAAGCGACTCGAAGCCTCAGCTAGCAGGGTTTAGGGTTTAGGGTTTAGGGTTTAGGGTTTAGGCAAACCCTAATCCTAAAACCCGAAGCCTCAGCTTAACGTCAGCCTGACGACTTCCCTGCTAAGCCCTCAACCCAAACACTGATTCCTCTGCTGAACTGCGAGTGTCCAACTTTTAGGCAAGTGTTTTCTTTAATCAAACATCGGAATAAGGTTCCTTTAGGGTTGTTTCAAGGATTCGAAAAAGGGTTCTTTAATGAGGCCTTCAGGGTCTAGGGTTTAGGGGCCTTAGTGAAGATGATAAGGCGTCGGTGTACGGTTCTAGTATATGTAGAATTGAAGTATACTTATAAGCAGGAACCGTACGGAATAGAACCACTGACAATTCAGGCCTCTATAGTACCTAGGCTCCAAAGAAAGAGCTCCCACACCGTGACGAAACTGTAAAGCATGCTTGAACCCTGAAGCCCAAGCACCAACACGCGGGCCCTACTTTTGCACTAGAGTTTGCGTTCTTCGAAAACCATATAAGGATTCTGAGTCAAAGGGAATGCTACTACAAACGATTCGGCCACTGTATCACAGCCTCAACAAAGAAGATTCGCAAACATGTAGGATTTGAGGGGTTTGTGGTTTGGTTTGGCATTTAGGGGTTTACGGCTTCAGGGTTTTGGGGCTTCTGGGGTTTAGGACTTCAGATGGGTCTTCGAGGCTTCAGGGTTTACTTAAAGGATCTTGGGACTTAGTAACTTAGGTTGTAACTAAGGTAACTGTACTTATATTGACTTATAACCCCCGTGTTATGGTACTTATAACCTTACGAAGTCCCATGATCATCCAAGTAGAGCTTCGGCACCGTGCCTGGCCAACCGAAGAGTTTGCGACGCGGCAGAACACCTGCTTGCTTGCCAGCACCCCAGCGGAAACCGCGGAACCCCCAAAGGGGTTACAGTTGGCTTTAAACTTTGACCCCCAAATGGGTAAGAGTTAAAGGTTTACAGGTTACTAGGTATATATGCTATACATATACAGGGACTCTCAACGAGTGGTATCACTAATTAATTTGGCCACCAGCCGCACGGCCTGATTCAAAGACACTTCAGCAGCCAGCAAGTTCTTACACCATCAATACGTAGCCGGACACTGAATACACAAGTCAAATAAGCAACAGCACTAACAATAACAAGAATAATGTGCAAATCTTGATTACAAACAGGTGCTGTAGTAGAAATGAAGTGCAATCATGAGAGAAGAATACAGACTCAAATAAAACCTATAATGGCAAGGTCTTTGCGGCTTAGGACTTGGGGGCGAAGGCGCCCGAACCCTGAACGAGTACTAAACACCTTGAAAGCCCAGCTACTGAGATAGTTGAGGGAATTATGTGTCATGAGTCCTGTCAGACTCCGGTACATCCCTGGTAGCATGCTATAGCTGCTGCTAATCCGATATTCCCCGAACAATATGGTAGACGCTATGGGGCTGTAACACTCTGTTGGTAAACATGCCCAAGAGATGGCTCCGGACACTCTTGGTTAGGATAGGTACACCCGAAAGATCCCGAAACAGGGCCCCTTAAGCCCGGTTCAACCCTTTTGCCGGGACCCCTGACCCTCCAAACAAACGCTCGAAACCCTAAACCCTAAGTGCGACAATAAATGCCGAAAGAGTAAACCCGGCGATTCCTGGTTTGATGCTGAGCATAAGATTTCTTTGCGCTACGACATTACAAGATAGAACAACAACCATGCCTGCATCCCTTTGTATGCCGGCGCAGGAAACCACTGTCTGTATTGCACAACGTACA